GCCAAAACTACATGCACCAGAAGATAGATTAATACTATGGACACTTCTTCTAGGTATTAAATGTAATATCATTTTACAGCTTCGCATTACCAAGGTCTAACATAAGGCTGTCCAGTTCACTCTCTTTGATATAAAATACGCTGCCATCATAACTACACGTACTCTTGCACCTTTGTTGATCAAACTGACAATATAAAATTAGAATAAAATAACAACATCTCTTTTCTATCTCTTTTTCTTCTTGAAAAGAAAAAAAAAAAAAAACCATCACGGTGACTTTATAAAAACATGTTTAGCGTAGCATCACGCGCTGAAAAGTTTTGCTGAACAATATCACAGATAGTGTCTGGAGATAGCGCCTGTAGGATCCAGTTTAACTTCTGGTGTATTTTCTGGTGCATGTAGTGTATACCTTCAGTGATTGTTCCCGCAACACGCAGATATAATCAAGTATTTATTTCTATACCCAGCGCATCATCATGTCTGTAGTGTTGTCAGTTGCAGCCCACCATATCTGCAAAACCACGTCATAAACTCTGACTACTTTGAGTTGGGCCAAAAAATATGGCCAAGTTTTTGAATCAAGACTGATCCTTGTTTCCAAATCTTCGATTTGCTTGCAGCCGTGCCTTGCTGGGAGCAATTATTCTAGATCCATCAATGAATAGGGCTTTAATTTTCAATTGCATCGAGATTTATGGTTGTCGACATTCCATCAATTCTTATAGAGTCGTTTAAGGTCTCCTAATAACATTCGGTATTGGAGTGTTTTTCCTCCCATTCTCTGCACCGTTGATGGGCTGAAGCTGGTGATCACTAATAAGATATTTACTGCTCTAGTGACCTCAAGCCTTCGACTAGATGCATCCGCTAAACCAGAAATTGGCCCCAACATAACATCAATTTTACTTGACACGACAGAAAAGGTCAACAAATGCCCGTATATTTACCAAGAAAGCCACTTGGGACGCTGCCATTGAGTTGTCGGAAGCTGATAAAATTTGCTCGAATACTCCATATGATGTCGTATATCAGCTACATCAATTGCGCACACGTTTCCACCATCTTTCCACTTATCTCATGTGCCGGGCATTTAAAGATGATACTAATGACATTCGAAGCCGGCCATACACTATTTTTATTCTCCTAAACTGGGACAATGGTGCTAACAATACCGATTACCAAGTTGGATCCAAGCTATTACAGGACATTACAATGAGTGTTATACAGAGTGGACACTCAACGACATTATCTAAGGACAAATTTTTAAAGCTGATGGCAAGACTGAAATCTGACAAGGCTACGTTGAAATATTTCAAAACAATCGTCGAATTGTTTGACTCTTGAGGTATTGGTTGTAGTTGTGGTTGTTGCTGTTAACACTCGTGCAATGTATAAGAATAAAGTAAAGACGTGGGAGGAGGAGCTCATAGCAAAAAGAAATTAGGTTGTTTTAAAAGTGGTCGGAGTACTAATTAAGGTACATGTTAGTAAAATGTAATCTCACACGTAAAGATTAGTATTAGACATGGTCAAATACGACAACATCCATTGCAAAAGCCAATGAATTAGCTGAAAACCTCATAGCTGCATTCTTTTCAAGCCTCTAGCTTGATATCTTTTTTCGATTTCTTTACTTTTTTTTTTCTTATATCGTATTAAATAAAAAGAACACATTCTATGATACATCTGTCGTATTTGGGCATACTTGTTCTTATTGAATCGAATTAGATTACATATTATTGCCATATTTCTTATTAAAACCGATAATGTAACATTATATTATATTGGGTGGTGGTGATAGATCTGGTGTGGCATAATGGACAGTGGACGATAATCTCTTCCCATCGTCCACAGTCTATAGTCCAAAATCCAAAGTCCAGCATCAAGATATCTGATTGGCTCAAAGCGTTGCATATGGATGATGGACAATGATCTCTTCCCACCGTTCACCGTCCATCGTCTATAGCTCCAGCACATTACTTTTTTTTACCATCACTTTCATTAGTCCAAAATTAGAGGCTATAATTTTTTCTTTCTAAAACATTTAGTAAAGGTCTATTCATCTAGCCAAGATTAGTAGAACGAAATCCCAAGGATACAATCTATTTTTAGTATAACTGCTAGTGTTCTTTTTTTCTATTGTTTTTATGATGTATATATTAATGAATGGTCAAACACTTCTACTGCTTGCTGAGAATTTCTACTGGATTTAAAAATTTCTATTTTCAAACGCAAACACTGCATTTTTATAATTGCCTTGTTTGGAATAAAAGCAAAACAACACTTCTTTTTTCGATATGTTTTTTTGTTTAGACTCATAACAATAAGGAAAAGGTTTCCTTTTTTTTATGCTTGTTATTGTTTAAACAGCCCCTTTTTTTATATTTAATTTTTTATTTTATTTTTTTTGCACACGTATTTTTTTTAAATAATAATAAAACAATGGTTTATCCTCACAATAATAGTTTATATAATTATTTGAATAATAACGACAACTATGGAATTCCAATTGCAGCACCTCATGGTCGAGATGTTGAAATGACAGAAGCTTCTTTGGTGAATGAACGACCCAACAAGTTGCGATCCAAACGTATTTTACACTACCGCAGCATGGAACCAGAAATTATAGAATGGAATATGAAAAAAGAAAAGAGACTAGGTATGTCATGTTTGAATACATGCTTCTTTGTCTAACAATAGAATAGATTTTACGTCGATATTGCCATTTGAACTTTGTTTACAAATCATCTCATTACTTGATTTCAACACACTTTTATCTGTTCCACTTGTGTCAAGACGATGGGCAAGTCTGTTCTATCAAGACGAACTGTGGAAGATAAAGATGGTGGAGAACAATTGGAGATTAAAAATTCCAACCAATGTAACACTAACCGAAGAAGAACAAAGCTGGTATTACTGGTATAAACAGAGACATCAGCTGGAGACAAGATGGAATACAGGCAAAGTAGCATCCCATTATTTAATGGGCCATAAAGACGGTGTTTATTGTATTCAGTTTGATGATGACAAAATAATCACTGGCAGTCGAGATAAGACGATCAAGATATGGGATCCACAGCTCTATCAATGCATATACACATTGGAAGGACACGCAGGTAGTGTTTTGTGTTTACGGTATGATGATGAGATCATTGTCTCTGGTTCATCTGATACAACCGTCATTGTCTGGGATATGCGAACAAAGCGTATTCGAGCGAGACTGCATGTAAGTATAAACAATGATAAAATGACATAAAACTTATTCTGGACTGCAGGGACACACTGCTGGTGTAAGTGATGTTGCATTTGATGATCGGTACATTATTAGCTCATCCAAGGATACGAGCATACGAGTGTGGGACCGGAAAACATTTCAGCCTATTCGAATGATCGTAGGACACCGAGGTGCCGTCAATTCAATTCAAATTCACGGAAACTATCTAGTTTCTGCTTCCAACGACACATTAATCAAATTGTGGGAAATATCAAGTGGCAAGATGATTCGAGAATTCGTGGGTCATCATCACGGATTAGCTTGTGTACAGTTTGATGGCAGACGAATTGTGAGTGGCTCAAGCGATCATACCATCCGAGTATGGGATGCAGAGGTAACCTACTTCTAAATTAAGTTATCATGCTGCTCATGTGTGCCAATGTGTTTATTTATAGACCGGTCTGTGTACAATGATATTTGCTGGTCATTCAGGTCTCGTCAGAAACTTACGGTTGCTTGGCAACAGGGTTGTGAGCGCAAGCTATGATCAAACAGTCCGTGTTTGGGATATAAAGTAAAGCACATGATATGAATAATAATCCATCATTTACTAATACAGTTCATAGTTCAGGAGCATGCTTACTCAACTTCCAAAGTGGACACTCCAGTTGGATCTTTGACGTTCATTTTGATAGAAAAAAAATTATTAGGTAACCATGAAACCATTTTAAACAAAAGAAAAAAAATGAGCTAAACCTTAAAAATGATAGCACAAGTCAAGATCGCAAAATATTAATCATGGATTTTGCTCACGAACTCAATACCAAATGTCTTGATTTATAGTCGTTCTTGTATTATATTCTTTGTATAGCTTGCATTTCAGTATCATTTAATTCATTTAATCGTAATTGCGCTTGACGGTTTGAACCGATAAAAGAAGGGTAACCATGGATACCATTGATCATCCATTTGAGAGACGCATGTTTATGTAATACAAAATATCCCTTTGTCTGTGCTTTTGTACGACATATCTGTAACCATCTGGTGAAATAGGTCCACTAAACTTTTTTCCATTTTCCACTGTCGTTTTGGTTGCCTCCTTATTTTATATCTCGATAATAAGTTGTCATACAATTAATAAGACCATAAGAAAAGGAAAAGTAAAGGCGACCATGTCTTATTTTCCACACCTTTCCTTTTTTTTTTTTCATTATTAAAATTTAAACATCGATCAACTCCACTGATTGTTACTTGATTTCTTTCTTTCGCATGTGTTTTACACGCTTTTATTTTGATAGCTTATTCGGTACTATGCGACATATCAGATCTTAAACCGTTCCAATTACCGCCACTTTATCAAAGAAAAAAGGGAAGGGGGTGGGAGCGGTATATACAGCTCTACTTGCATATGTGTAACTGTTTGAGTGCGATACAAATTATAAAAAATAACATAATATATAGTTTCTGTTCCACGTTACCCCATCGAACCAGAGGAGTTTTTATTTTTTCATAAAAGACAAGGGTACGCAAACAAGTTTCAACGAAGAAAAGAAAGAAAAAACCATTGAAAGCAAGAGATAAAATTTATAATAAAATAAGACCATACCATTCACTTGTTCGTTCTCATCCGATTGAAGTACCGAAGAAGGTCAAGATGAAAATCATAATTCGGTTCATTTGACAGCCGTACAAAGGTAGAGAAGGAACATGCATTGACTGTCCTAAATGAAGCAAGCCATGAATTTACACTTATTTAAGGTTTATGTAAATGCTTAAACCAGCTGATAGACCAGTGTACAGAAATCATTATAGATAAAGGCTATATAACACGATACAGATCTATTTTCCTTACGTTTTTTTGTGTCTCCTGTAGTCAAACACGCTCTAGTCACATTTGACTTGGTTAGTCATTGTTGAAAAAAAAAAATAAGTTTATTTCTTTTCTCTTCTTTTCTTTTCTCTATTTATTTTAACTTTTAATGTCTTCTTTTGCTTCTACAATTTCTCAAGCTTATATGAATACAAAGTCTAGTTCCTTTCAAAACGATAATGACTTGCAGCCTTTAGCATCAAACTATGCTAAAAGACTTGATTACGCCAATACATGCCCTGAAGCATTCCTATTACAAGATTTGACTATACAAGCACCATGGAACACTTTTACAGATCTCAATTGCCCAGAATATTCTATTATACACCAAGACATGAATCGCACTTGTAATAACCATAATAATCATAATAGTAGTAATAAATCATTCTATTCCCCAAAGCGATGATCACTAACTCCCTTTTTTATAAAGCACTTTTCGGCTACCATGGCCTGATCAAAAATGAGGCTACTTACCTCTGTCCAGAACAACAAACGGTTACACCCTCATGTAAAAATATCGCGTACCCCAGTCAGCAGCACCCTTTCATCGCAGACGGAGGACCTTCACCAATGACGAGCTCAGGAGGTACACTGACCTGGCAGCAGAGTATACTTCAAAAGAAGCCAAAAGAAGAGTACACACAGTGGTTACCATCCATTCAAAGTTCAACCTTGACGAGTCCTGTCAATTCTGAGCATTCAATGGACGAAAAGTTTGTCAAGAAAAGAAGCATAGTAGACCAGGATCTGATCTCGGCTCCTTCAGTTGTCTCTAGCATGAGCGAGCCCATACGAACGAGCGTGCAATACCCAGCCGTTTATCCTCAACAACCTCGTAAACGGACAAGGTCCCTTCAACATGATTCTTCCACTGACGTCAATCACCATAACGTTTGTAACAATACGACTGAAGGAGTCATCAAGGCTTCATCAGATAGTTCAGATGATCAGTATCTTCAACCCTTGGCTGAAACAGTAAACTTTGTGAACACAGCAGTAGCATCTGAGGTTGCATACTCCGATAATTATTACGATACGGTTAGGAACAATCAGATGCTCGCAGCTATTCCTCGTCGACAAAAGTTGCGTTACGAAGGTGATCATTACACCCCCAAGTGGGTCCGTTATACAGGACACCTTAAAGAGGGCTACTGCGATAGTTGTAATCCTGGTAAGTGGCTGCAGCTGAAAAACAGCGCTTACTGGTAAGTTCGGAAAATAAAGAAAGAAAGGAGATCATCTTGATGTTTATATTTATTGCAAAAAAGGTACCACAAACAGTTCTACCACGGCATCTCTTCCGTCTCTGGTAAACCATTTATAAAGCCTATAGAACAGCGAATGGGGAAAGGCGATATCATTGAGGGTCTTTGTCATCAGTGTCATCGATTTGTCCCAGCGTGCAACGGCAAAAAAAAGAATAACTATATGCTTTGGTATCGTCACGCTCATAAAGTAAAATATTAACAGAGTCATATCTCACTCTCTTTTGCTTACCTTACTTTGTTTTTGTTTAGTGTCATTTATATGATAAACCAAAGATAGTTCCAAAAACTTCCGTTAGTACCAGTAGCAGCAGTAACAGCAGTATTAGTAGCGGTAGTAGCAGTAGTAGATCTTCACTCCCATATTCTTCAATAACGGCAACAGATGAATAGATAAACTACAACCCTCTTCTATTATTTTTACTAGCATCTCTCCTTTCCTTCTTCTTTATAAGCCGAACAAAACAAATTGCATGTATATGTACCCTTTGTATATACTTTATTCATATTCCTCTCCATATCTTTCACTTATGCCCTACTTTCTTTATTTTTCTTTTGCCTTTGTGTTTTTTAAAAAAGAAATTGCTTATTATTACTACTTATTCCTATCCTTTACTTTAACGCCCATTATGACGACATTATATACTTTTAATAAACATTTTAATACTCGCAATCTAATAAACATCAGCCATTTGAATCGATTTTCACATCATCTCTTGTTCAAACATACATATTATGTTGGATGGAGTGGTTATGTTACCACTGTTACGAATCGAGCTCATACGATCTATGTACTGTATACTTGTTGTTTACTACTATAGGCCATTCCGAAGCAGTATAGAAAAGGAAGGCAAAGCTTATGTTTATCAAGTAATATACTTCTTTATTTAAATAAACAAACACTTGTGATAATGTTACTCATTTCATTACTTTACATGCTGTATTGTTTACATAGCCATCATATGTGAACATTTTCTTAAAGAACTAATATGTTAAACATGCTATATTGGAGCAATCAGTTAAACCCTTAACAAGTATACACATGTGCTATTTGTTTGAGCTAAACAAACAAACATAGGTGCCTTGGCTGCTTTATTAGGTCAGAAGTAGATGCGGTTTCTTAAAACCTTTTCAACCAAAAGCCAACCATAGAACATCTGCAAATAAAAAGCCTTTGCTACTAGCCAGTCTTTCTCTTTTGCAGATCGTTTTGAATCTGTAAACATAGCCAGATAAGGAAGACCCGTGATGAGCGACTATGAAACTCACTCAGCTCGTGATGAATCTATTTAAAGTAAGTTATTATGCAATGGGACAAAATGAATGTGCCCATTACAATATTGAGCTACATATGATTCATCAAGAGGTCATAATTAAATAGGACAGGTCTCAGCAGATCCACGCTAGGTTAAACAGAAAAAAAAAAATTGTATTCTAGACTCCTCTTGTATGAAATTGAGCGTAAATTGGTACGAGTGTATGATGTACAAACACTTTCTTCCATTCATTCGTTTGTTCACTCCTTTCTTTTAGAGAAAGAAAAGGGAAAGGAGCATCTCCGCAAACATTTACAAGATTCGGAAGGTAGTCCGGTCGTCTGTACAAGTGTCTGAAAATATATTAACCTTTTTCGTTAATTTGACTTTACTGGCGGGGGGAAACACCACTCGGTGCCTAGGCGTGGTTTCAACGTGTGTTTTGAGTAAATAAACATGATGGTGAGGGGGAATGTATTGGCTTTTTTAAGTTTGCGGACCACGTTTTTTTTGGGAGATTGTTGACATACTATCAAATCTCGAAATAGTGATATCGCATTTTATTCGGACTTTGATTTTCGAAAATAATGACGCTGCTTGCTTATTGAGAAATGCGCCCTGGAAGTACGTGTTTCATAGTCCTTTTTTCAGACTTTTAGTAATTGTTGTCAATCAACTCTCTACTGTTTTACAATTTTGTAAGCACAAATGTCACAACAGTCTGTCCGCGAATCAATTTGGAGCGACTATAGTCTTGTATAGACAAGATCTAGCAAGGCTTCATTGGACAAATTCTATAAAGTTGTCGATGGTTTTAAAACTAGCGGTATGAAACAATTATCGGCCAAAGTAAGAGCATTAAGAGTGCTATTTAAATACGTTATTCATATTATTAACGGTTGAGGCAGGCAAAAATGAACTTATCAATGATGAAAGAGATATTACACGAGGAAGATAAACCTGTTTAGAAGAAGTTGGAATTAAGCGTTGCTTCAAGCGCTAAGGGTGCTAGTACTGGCTTGGTCCAGCCGCCTTTGCAAGCATGTGTACGCATATAATATAACTAAGGAGGGAAGTGCAACAATTCCTGTAGATATCCCGAGTATGGTTGATGAATTGATGCCGCATATTCGGTTGTATTTGAACTTGACAGTAAGATTAATTCTTTTAATTCATTTTCACAATGTTTATTGATCAAGTGCTTATTTTTTTAGGGAATGTTGCAGAAAACTTTGGACTATGTTGAATTCCAAAAAGAATGTCGTGCTGTATTATAAGAAGCAATGATTAACGACGCGCAAAAGCCAATCATCTAACATTATTAATCCGATAATTATAAGACTGAATGAGGGCAAGCATGCTAAGGAAGTGAAAAATAGCTCAAGCAGTCTTCGACGATAGATAATAAGCAACTAAATACTTGTGTTAAAGTATTTTATTGACTAGATAAATATCACTTTTTTATGTCAGTATCTTGACTTTCTCCTAATAAACCTAAACTAAAAAGCCAGTACCCCACAAACGATTTCTTTTGTTTATCTATAGGCTTACTCCAAAGGATCAAAGAAAATGGACCTTTTTGCTTGATTGGCTGATAAATGTATTTCCACAAAATAAAGCAAGTTACACAGGCCTCCTGTGTCCTGCTTGTCCTTTTTTTTTTTCTTTTAATGTATTTACGTGAATTTCAATATAATCCACACAGTCCACCGTGGCAGAAACTTTTGTGGGTAAAACAAAATTACCCAGACAACTATGTGGATGACACATTTTTGGATGAGCTACAACGAAATGGTATTCATCAAACACATGCACACGCACAAACAAACACACATATTCAGTTAAATTATTCTAGTTAATGTCATAACCTACGATTACTGGGCTACGGTATATGAATCAGGCGTCATTACTCAACAAATAAGCAGCGTTATTATTTTTATTGCACTATTCATTTATTTGCAGTCCAACGTAATGTCTGGACACTACTTGATCTGGGCTGGATCTCTATCAACAGGAGCCGGGTATATTTTTTGGGATCTGATCATGTTAAAGACAAGAAATGACTATGAATTTAAACGTAACAAAAACAAAAAAAAGAAGAAAGCTTCCATGTATGTAAAAATGTGTACGTTCTGTCTATAGGTCAGCGCGTGGTTAAAAGTGCTTTCTTCTTCTTTATTACACTATTGGGCCTATCACCTATCCTAAAGACATTGACAGAAAAGATCAGTGACGATACCATCTGGGCATTGACTGTCATCTGCTTTCTTATTCACGTTCTTTTTCATGATTATAGTACACAAACGAATGCGATAAAGTAATACTATCATATAAAGAGAGATCATGTGATTTATATTCTCCATAGGATACCAGGATCAATGTCAACTAATGCGGCCATATTTGCCTCAGTATTACTTGCTTCAAGATTAGAGACGAATACAGATGTCTTTGGTTTGCTATCCTTTGCTGTCGAATGGTTTTCATTGTTTCCTATCTTTAAAAGACATTTAAGAAGCCTGAGTACCAAGGTTCAAGTGATGCTGACATTGACCATGCTCCTCGTCTGCGTCGTCTTGTTCTTTCCTATATCAAAGGCAGTTGCCTTCATCTATATCCTAGGGTTCATATTCCTAACCTTTATCTGTCCATATTGGCTTATATTCATTCAGAAATATAAAAAGTAAGTTATTTGATTAAATATTAATTTGCCTCTAATATAACATCTCTTAGTGAAATTCATGGGCCTTGGGATGAAGCTAGACCAAAGTTACAGAGACCTAAACGTAATCTGTATAGAAAAAAGAATATCAAAACAGGATCATGATGTAAATAATAAAAGTAGGATCTTGTTAGATGAATCATGTTAATAATGAGGATTCAATACCCACCCGATCCATACATATCCTTTATCAACAAATAGAGTTATTTCAAATAAAATAAAATACATAATTCAAATGGGTAATTTAATCTAATGTCTTTTGATTCGGGACCCTGTTGGGTTACCGCAACAGATTGTAAAGGAAAGCCACCAACAATACTCTATACATATTGAAAGAAGTATAGGATAGAGATATGCTACAAAAAATATTGCTGATTCGCTTGCATGCATGTGCGTACATACTTTGACATACTGCAACTTTATTAGATACGACGCTACTAAATGCAACCATAGTCAAGCTGTACTTCTTGCAGGCACCATCTAGCGTCTGCTCAGGGTCTTTTTTATGTTTATCTACTTTTATAAACAGTGCTCTAATACTTTGATTTGAAAAAATGAGCTCATAGTCAGCTTTTTTTATAGGTAAAGCTTCAAAGTGAAATCAAAAGAACAACTATATGCTTAGGATGTTTTGTAATATTTAGAGCATTATTGATAATTCAAATGCGGCACACAGTCGAAGGATTCGAAGTTACCATTTGGAAGGAAGCTATGATATCACCACTCTGCTCGTAGTGAAGAATAATCTACATTTTTCACCTTTCTCCAAATATATCTGATCCTGTCACCATTATCGGCAATGAATAAGCACGGTTCATCCGATAATGTAGCGTTTTTCTACTTCTCTTCAGTTAATTCGGCCCAAGTAGTCTTGGCTCCTGTTGAGCAATAAATTATGAAACTAATTTCCTTCACATGACAAGCAACATCCCTCATGACATGTTCATATGAAGTTTGCTTCAGCTGGTTTTTTAGGTATAAAGGGAGAGAGAGAGCGAAAGCTTCACTGTTTCTTTATTTGATTCTCTCTCTGTCATTATGAACTTTTGGAATAATTGAATAGTGTCTGCAATGCGTTACATTCGCAACAACTTTGGGCTCTTCTAACGTAAAAATAAAAGATAATCTATCTTTTCCTCCTGGTTTTGAATGAGAATGTCTAGTTGTAATCTGAAATGTTGAATATGACTAATAATAATAACGAAGAAGAAGTTGTCAGAATTTAACATCCGTAAATATTCTTGGAAAAATGTATGCCTTGAAAAAGCACTTGTCAAGTGAAGAGTAAAAAAAGAAACAAGCCTAAATATAAACTCATTTCACATGTTATGACAACATTTCTTTTCTTTTTTCTTTTCTTTTTCTCTAAAGCTCTATGATTTTTAAAGCAGCCATAGTACAGCAACACAGAGATCCTAGCCCAAATTGTCCATTGTTAATGTAGCTGTCTGTAACGGAAAGGATCTCGGAAGGGCGGAAGAGAGTGGGATGATTTGTATGGAATAAAATCACTTTTTATGCTCGGAACAAATGTCAAATTCATGAGCCTGTATCCCCCTCGGTAACAGGGCTGATAAAGCATGAGATATTGCATCACTTTATATTTTCCGGTCCATATTCAAATCAAGGTATTGTATAACAAAATCATCACTATGATACAAACTCTTTTTCCTCTATTAATAAACAAATGGACCTCAACCAATCGTCATTTCGTGTGTACAATAAAAATAAGCAATTCCCCTTTTCGTATCAGATTACGCACCATGATGAGACCATCATGATGGATTTGGTAATAAAGTCAATGATGAAATCTACATGTATAAAAAAAGAAAAGGTCATAAAGCCTCCTCTCTATTTAACAAAAAAGGAATAAAAGTCCTTTAAGGCCTATTGCTCTATAAAAAGAGAGGAGTGAGAAACATACAACAAAATGCTTCTCATCTTGTGGTTTTATAAGGAAAATAGAAATGTGTTCTCTTTTGTCATTGTTGTGCAAAAAAAGAAAGAAAGAAAAGGGGAACGTAAGGGATCAAGGTATATTCATTTCAATATCCGCAGCTTATTTTTATTTTCTGTTTTTGGTAGAATAAAAAACAAAGCATCTATACAACACCCTTTCCACCTTAATGCACATCATATGAGTTATGAATGATCTGAATATTGCCTTTTTTAATTAAAAGCCCATAGAAACCATTTAAAAAAGTCCATGTCAAGAAGTATTTGTTATTGTGGTTACATAAACATATAAAGTTGGCCTGTGCAGTAAACATTGGAAATTATCATTGCACAGCATAAACAAATTGAAATCATAAAGTAGGGAAATAAAAATAAATATAATTATAAGCCTCGTTATATAATAAGTAATTAGATCATATTATCAACGAAAGCCCTCTCTTTTTTTTATACTTGGTCATCGTCGTCACCACTATATTACCAAGTAAACCCTCATTCACTCGTCAGAAGATAAGTCTGCGTTTCAAACAACTTGTCAGGTGACCATGTTATAAAAAGAATCTACGTCTATAAATTTGCATTTGTCTATTTCCCTTTTTCTCTTTCTTTTTTCCCTCTCTCTTTCTCTTTCTTTTCTTGTTCTTTCAATTCAATTACCTTTTACGCCTTCCAATCCTTGTATACTTGTATTATAATATTTTTTAATTTATAACAAGAATGGCAAAGAGTATACTATCACGTATGGTGAGCTTATTCTCACCAAAGCAAAAGAAATCTACAGCAAAGTCAATACAAAAGCCTACCAAATCAATTGACAACATAACATCACCTTTACACGATAACATCATTGAATCATCACGGAAGCAGTCACTGGAGACACAATCACCAAAAAAGGATTTAATTCTCGATCAACCGTCGCAACCACCACAATCTCAACCACCACCGCCTACGATAACAAGTGAAGCCAATGAAGAGTCAGATATGGGTCGATTTATAAACATTCAGGGCGATCTGCCAAAAACACAAGATTACATTAATAAACTCGAGCAATACGTCAACAGAGCTTACCATCAATCCTCAGACGAATATTCGACTATTTCCTCAGTTACTTCTTCTGCAAATATGACACTGGAGGAGGCTCTGTTCTCACACATCTCGTCAGATTCTCGTTCAGAAATTACCGCGTATTCGTTCGACAGTCCTAAAATAGCAGTTCGTGCGCAGTCATCCAGTAGATCAAGTCTTGTACAATCTGATGTTAGACAATACCAGATTGCTGACCTAGACCCACCCGCTCATCACGCTGACAGTATGGGTGGTAGTACGCCCAAGATTATTTTTGATACGCACCTGGCCATCTCAAAGTCCAATTATGAGCGCTACTTTTGTAATCTTTATACACAGGCCCTTTATTACTTATCTCCTCTAAACAAAGGTTACAGTCCTGCACACGCTTTTGAACTCTTTGAGGCCATAGCAGCGCACGGTAGCCAAGTATACCAAGACTTGAATCCTCGTACAAAAACCTTAATCTCTTTTGCTCAATATCGCGCAGGAAGAATGCTCTATGAGGCAGAATGCAGCGAAGAGGATGACCGCTATAGCCATCACCAACAGCAAGGTTTAATCTATCTTTGTGACGCTCAAAAGAATGGAAATGCCCACGCCACCTACATCTTGGGCATATACACGCAAGAACGTGGCAATCTTGATCAAGCATGCCAATTGTATCATGAAGCTGCCATGGCTGGCTTGGTGGAAGCCAAGGTATCGTTTGCTATCACTGTTCTTTATCATCATATATCTACATTCAAGGCAGAAGATGCCATTAAAGCATTAATTGAAGCTTCTAACCAGGTAACACAAGGAAAGTTGCCCCTTGCTCCTGTGTTCCCCTCGAGCTATTTAGTGCGGGGGAATGGAGGGACAAGTGTGGCTTTAGGGAAAAACTTGCACACTCACTATTTTCCTTTTTAGGGTCATTCGCTTGCATCTTTTCTATTAGCTGCCTACTATGATCAAGAACAGCAATTCCAAACCGCAGCAAAGTATGGTCAGCGTGTCAGGCTGTCTTCTGCTAGCCCTATATATGGTCTTACAAAATACGTCATTGGCATCATCCACTTGAAAGCTGGCTATGAAGACGCTGCATTTCAATACGTTGCTGAATCTGCCAATTTTACACAGATAGATGACCGTGGACTGCCAATTAAGAACACTCTGGCTCTTCGAAAGCTGGGCTTATTCTTCCTTTTAGGCATTGGCACGCCCAAGAAGCCCGATGTTGCCTTTCAGTACATTAAAAAAGCTGCCGACTATGGTGACGAAGTCGCCAATATTATTCTTGGTCAAATGCTCATCCTTGGTCTAGGCGATACCATTGATCGAATGAAAGCTGCCGAGATCTTTGAAAAATACAAAGATAGCATTGCTGCCAAGCTGTCTCGTGGCCTGCTGTTCATGAAAATAAATCCAGAAATTGCTTATCAAGAATTCGTATCGGTCATGAACTTCAACCCGACACCGTATGACGAGAAAAATTGGAACATCGCTTCTATACGGTGCGAGGCTACAGTCCGTATCGCCATTTGGACATTCAATGGTATTGGTGGCGCGGAGAAGAACCCTCAATACGCTGTGCAGCTCTTGCAAAAACTGTCTGACCAGTACAACTATCCAGAGGCTCATTATTGGCTTGCGTGGGCCTACTATGAAGGCGTTCTGGCTCATGATGACTCTACGATTGCTACAAAGGACGTAAACAAGGCATTCCATTATTTCTTGAAAGGTGCTCAGATGAACAATGTCAAGTCACTATACAAGGTGGGCCTCATGCTTAGAGATGGCGAAGTTACTCATCCGCAGTTCCAACGCCAAGATGCTTTCCAGTTTTTCTTCAAAGCGGCTGGTTTAAATCATGTGGAAGCTCAAACCCAAGTGGGTGTTTACTACTTTCATGGTTTGGCACCTGTTACGCGCAATCCTGAAATGGCATTTGAGTACTTTAGCTTAGCAGCAAGACATAACAATACCGAAGCTATTCTCTATTTGGCTGACTATTTCGTCAAGAGCAGTACTCAGCACAGCTCAATTAATGTGAAGCAACTTTACAACGAGCTCAACCGCAGTGCATCTGCACAGAACCCTGCGGCCTACCGTATGCTTGCCCTAGTCATCAATAAGCTTACTGACCCATCTGAATCTTATGAGCCTATCCTGAGAAGCTCAGTAAGTAGCCATCAAGCCCTTTGGAGCATGTACAAAATGGCCAAAGAAGAATCATACAGCAATACTGATGTTAAAACTCGATTTGCATTACATTGTCTTTGGAAAGCCCTGGAACTCACAGATCACAAGTCAGGCAGATTCATATGTACTTTCATCCCAAAGATGACTGCGAATGACGTTTCAAGAACAATAGAGATTTTTCAACGATCAGAAGGCCCAAATACCCAAAAGTAAGATTACTCAAACAGTTGCACAAACAAAAACTAACACAGATTTATGCAGAATGAGCGTTGCATTTGCACAATTTTTGAATGCTTGTGGCAAAAAATCACTTGCTCTCAAAAAGTATTTAGAAATAGCTAGACTCAATAATGTGAACGAGACAGCCGGTTGGGTATCTCGTCTAGAGGCTGCTAAGCTGGTGCTGCTAGAGAATCAAGGAAAGGCACGAAGTAAAGACATGGTATTCAACTATCTTCAGGAAATGGTTGGTGTTAATGGAAAGAACTTGTTTTTGCCCTATTTCTTGTTAGGTAAGATAGTAGACATAGTTACAGTGGGCGCGCATAAATTAACACTTGATTTAGCCAGATGTCATGAAAAAGAAATATGTAAAGAATGCAACAAGTCATCGGCCATTTCGCTGTATGAAGACGCCCTACGCTATAAAGCAAATAATGACCAGACAGCTGACAATGCACCTGATGCTTTATTGGAGGTCAACATTCGATCAAAACTTGTCAAAACGTACTATGAGTCTTATCAAGATAAGAAATTGGAGACGCAGTTAAACATGCTGGAGAATTTACTTAAAAAGCTTGGTGAAAGCAGAGAAACAAAAGAAGCAACAGCTGATCTATTGTACTACAAGGGTAACTAACCAAGAAAGAAATCAATGCCTTATTTGGATAACTAACTTTAACTTTGTCATATAGGTCTCGTAGTACTTCATAATTACAACATTCTGAATAACAGAGAAAAAGCTGAATCTTATTTATCCAAGTCTTGCAAACTTGATCATGTTCTCGCTCGGCTTGAACTAGGTTATCTCTATGGTACTTCTAAAGGAAAAGAGGATCTGGCTGATGCCTGCTTCACTTTTGTGGAAGAAAGCAATAAGACATTGATCAATTTCCAAGGAAGAGTAACTGAAACTACGACTTTCCTACGTTCTACTCGAATGAAGAATCCCGTGGAAGATTACCCAAAGGAGTTTATACAAATGAAGTTGGCTGCTGCTATTACTTACAGCTTGTATGATATGGAGCGCCAAGCAGTTGACTGGTTACGTGAGATTCCACATGAGCCTCTGAGCCAAATTATGCTCTTGTATTACGAGATGAAGAATCCTGCTAATCGTAAAACTCAGACTATCAGACGCCTTTCAGCGCTTATGGCTCCATTTGAAACAGACCATTCACTTGATTATAATGCTCGCATGATACTCAGCTACGGTCAATTCCGCTTAGGACAATGCTTTGAACTTGGCCATGGGGTTTCTAAAGACGATATTACGGCAATGGAGTACTATAACAAGGCCTGTGCTTTCTTAAAGAGCAATGAAATGTACGAAAAGCTAGCAGAGATATCTCAACGAAACGGATCTACCAATGCAGCCGACTTGTTTCCAACTCTCTATAATGCTGCCCACAACAACAAGGACGCTACATTTAAGCTTGCTCAGTACTATGAGTCTCAAGGCACACCTGAGTCATTGGGAAAGGCAATCACTTACTTCCGCAAAGCTGCTAATTTGGGTCATACAGAAGCATGCTATTATTACGCCAAGTACATGATCAAGAAGAAGATGCAAACTGCAGTTCGACAAGAAGGCGCTGCCTCCAATTTAAAAAACGCTGCTGATTATCTTCGTTTGGCTGCTAGTCGAAACCATGGCCCTGCCTTTTACGAACTAGGCATGTTGGAAATGAAGGCTGGTTTATACGAAGAAGGTGTAGAAGACCTATTAGAGGCACACTTTTTGGGCTGTAGTGATGCAAGCTATCAACTGGGTGAACTTTACTTTACTGGATTTATCGGTGTTGTTCAGGACCAAGTTGTTTACAAGATGGGCCAAAATTACGAAACTTCGCTCAGCTATTACACACGTGCCTATGAAAAGAGCCCAGGTCATCTTTTGACCATGATCAAGATTGGCGCCTTTTATGAACAGGGACTCTCTGTGGAGCAAAACCTTGCTGAGGCTAAGCGCTGGTATACAAAGGCACGATCTCTTGGTGCCCAAGATGGTATCGCTGAGTATGCTCTTGGTTGCTTGGAAGAGACAAATCTAGCTTTATCAGGCCTTAGGCCTACCAATTCACTTCGAAAGGCCGCCTATGACTGGTTCCTAATGTCCTATAACCTAGGCAACAGAGATGCCAAATTTAAAGTCGGTGTTTATCTACTCAACAACTGGGTGGACCCTCACAGCTCAGAAAGCGAAAAAAGAGGTCTCGAAATGCTCATTGAAGAGAATAACAACAGTGAACTGAAAGCGATGATTGTTCTGGCCAAGTATTTTGAGAAAAGGGGTGAATACGAAAAGGCCTTTGACTACTGGAGAAACGCCGAAATGTTGGATGACCCTGAGGCATTAGAATACATTGGCAAATGTTATGAACAAGGTTTGCTTGGACAGGAAATCAATCTTGAAGAAGCACATGCGTACAAGCAACGCGCGATGGAAGCCCGTAAGAATGCAAAAGAAACTCAATGCAGTGTTATGGGATTCAGGTCTGATTGCTCAGATGAACGAAACTAATTTATATATATTTATTTATTCATATTTTATACTTATTTATTTTGTATATGCTATTTACTCTTTATTTGTAAATTTGTTATTAGAATAAGCTTTTTACTTTATTTGTATACTATCCCCATCCTTAATTCCTAATCTGTAAAAAAAACATATATTTAAAAGCACCCTTCCTTATTATAAATGTTTATGTAACTTATGCCCCTTTAAATTATGTAATAAATATAAATACCTCTCTTTTGTATTAAATATAAAAAACAGCAAATTTAATAGCATTAGATAAAAATTATATAGAGTTTTAATAGAGAAATAATGACCACTGCATATTCTATCACTTGGACTGTCCACCACCAGTGTGAACAGGAACCTTTGTATCATCTGGCTTATGAATGTCTTGTTGATGGACACCTTGAGGCATCATATTGTTTGGAGCGTAACCTTGAGCGTTATATCCTTGGTGCATGGGTTGTTGTGGAGAATATACAGTAGTAGAGCCCATCCCTGAACTAGTGTCATAATAATAACCATTATCATCATAATACTCTTGTTGATGCATTTGAGGATAATAATAGCCTCCATGTTGTGGGGTTTGCATGCCATAATCTCCTTGCTGATAGCCATAATTATTATAATCGTCATTATAATAGTTACCTTGATCATTTAATCTTGGTATAGTAGGGGAGAGAGGCTTAGTGGCAGCAGTGACTGTAGTAGCTGGAGCAATGTTTTGATGTGGTGGGAAATCGCCCAATCCATAATCTTCGAATTCAGGTTTCTTCTTGCGATCTCTTCTCTTAGTACACCCACCACGACGACTAATACATGCGATAATACCACCGATTAATGCAAGGCCGACTGCAATTAAAAAAAAATCAGACTAATAAGGACCGATGTATATTTTTTTCCCTCTCTCTTTTTTGTTTCTTACCTACACCACCAACAACAGAACCAACGATAATGGGGGTAGTGTCTGTGGGCTGAAGGTTTTGAGTGTTAGAGGCGGATGGAGCTGAGGAAGTGGAGGATTTTGTACTGGTTGTAGTTGAGCTGGAGGAAGAGGTGCTTGACTGGGTTGTAGTGGTAGATGGTGGCCTGGCACTTGAGGAAGCGACTGTAGTTGTAGTTGATGGAGGCAATACGATGCTACTAGAGGCAGGACTAGAAGGCGCTAGGGTAGATAGAGTAGTTGTGGCAGGGGCGGATGAAGGTGGGGGAGGGGGAGGGGGAGCAACAGTGGTTGTGGTTGTGGTTGTGGTTGTAGTTGGTGCAATTGTTGGTGCAACTGTTGGTGTTGTTACTGGAGGCGTGGTCGAAGCTGGTGTTTTTGCTGGTTCTTTTGATGTATTAGATATGTCCAGTGGAAGTGACTGACAGTTCACTGTACATAATAATAATAATAGTACTTGTAAAAATATAAGCAACAACTTTGACGACAACTGTAATCGCATGGATTTGAAGAAAAGGAAAGAATAAAAGAAAGAAAGGGAATATAGTGTGAAAATGTGAGAAGGAGAATACATCGCACTCGCTGGTAATACGACAATAAAAGGTTGTGCTACCAGGGTACAATAGGTGCGGAATATTTTTATTGTACTTTGTACCACCGCTGCTTCTTTTTTTAGTAACAATCAGATCAACAAATAGAACAGTGATCCCTTTTTCCCTTGATTTCAATCTTTTGCTAGTTTTTGATAGAATAAACTGTGATATGTTATGATTCATAGTAGAATGATATTAAGTGTATTTTAAAGAAGCACCGCAAGGAAATATGTTCATTTTTATTCTTATATGTCTATTATGAAATATATGTAAATAGCGTCTCTAAGTGACAGCTATCTGTATTCTCTAATATGAAGTGATGAATTATAAACATAGTTTATTCTGACTGTAACTGATTAATCAGCTAAGAGTGAACAGAGCTCATAGAGTGCTACTTTTGTATCTTGTTTATTTTGTTAAAGGTACATGTGTAACACATCTCTTGATTACGGACAAACATATTTGAAACAAAATCGCTTATCAGTTTATAGCTATTCAAAATTAAAAAGTAAATCATAGAGCTTGTATAGTTGGCTCACTATATGTTTTGCTCGAAGAATATTAATAATATGAAGAAAGCAAAAAATATATTATAAAATAGACTTTTAAATATGATTCACAGTACTCGCTCTCTGTCTTTTCTCTCTCGAGATATGTCTCAAAAGTCTACTTATATTAAAGTATCGAAAAGTTTAAAGTGTTAATACACAGTATAGATTAAAAAAGAAGCCAATTATTTTGTATTAATTTTCTTTCAGTCAATTTGATCCATGTCATTATACCCAGTGAATTGTGGCGTTATAAGCTAAAAGGCAAGATTTCTCTATAGAATATAACAAACTATTCAAGCATGGTTATCCAGATGCTGTTTCTAGGGAAATATATTTTTATTGTGATAAAAAGGGTATTACATTGAATAAAAACAACAACAAAAAAAAAGAAATAAAGGCTACTGCTCAGTTTTGATCAAAACTCTTTGACAAGACCAAAGGATAAAGGACAAGATGAAAATATATTATTTTATACTTTTGCCACATCTTCAACAATCCTTTACGAAATGGTGAATTCGCCATGCATTACTAAAAAAAAATACCAATAAACATTTACATGATATCATCACTTTTATCAAACATTGGCAAACTTTCCAAAGAGTCATGCGTCCCTTTAAAGTAATGTATGCCACACTATTTCAATAAACCAGAAAAACACCCACTTACAATAAAGTAAGAAAAAAAAAAAAAAAAAAGAAAAGATATAATATGAAATTATATTATTCCTTAAGAAAACAACACAGTAGCTAAATGAACCATACGCAGTATAGATCTGAATTTACTATTCTATCTTATGAAAGTCTTTTAGACAATTTATATTACAGTTGATGTTTATGGCTGTCTTTTATACAGCATCCATTAAGGCTGGGTATCGCATCATGGAGGATCCATATCCTAATTCTGTCCAGCCTTGCTTTTGAACCCTTTCTACTGTCGATTTTTTATCTTGGCTCTAAACATGATTATTCAAACAATAATGATAATCTCTTTGCTTGACACAGACCAATTTACCTTGTCCATGACGCTATCGATTAAATTATCTTATCCATGAATGACTGTGCACGGTTTACTAAATCACAGAGCAAACTACGAACTCACAGTGAAGGTTTAAAATCTAAATAATTGCAACAAAATCTCTGGCTTTTCTCTTGTTTTTAATACTATTCTTCAACAACATATCGTACAGAGACAAAGAGTGCAATGGCTAGAAGCCTAATCTAGCCATTATCTCAAATGTTTCTTGTGCCCCGTTTGTTTTGCAGTAACAAATAAACTAAAATCGGAAATTATATTGATATCCATTTTCAGCACCAAGTCTTGCTTTGGGCAATCTCATATTGCGAGTATTATAAACTTTTAAAACCATGATAATTTATAAGGAGTCGCCATTCTATTCAGGAAATTTTAAACTCAAAAAACAGACCCTTCACATACGAAATTAAGTTTATCGTTATTAGATATATCCATCCAGCAATTATCTTTACGGGTTATTCTCGCTTCCTTGCTGGGTCATAACAACAGCGGGACTATTATTAATTTCCTCTATCAAGAGTAATTCGTGCACTTCATAAACTTTCTTCCTGCTTGGGTTAACGTTTTGAACCATTGTTTCTTCATGAGTCATCACAAACAATGACCCATAAAAGGAACAGAATATCATTGACACCTGTTTCAGCGTGAACGTATGTCACTTTCTCCTGGCTATCTGGTTCCAGAACCATCACAAACATAATGTCTTGATTGACATCTATCGTCCCTGTGCGGAGTTTTTCAATTGCAAGAAGAGAGAAGGCTACAGACGAAAATGAAAGTTGAGATGCTGCAAAAGCAGTAAAGTATTATTGTCTGTTGCTTCAGTAATACCACAGGGCTCGGAAGCACATAATTTCTTATGAAGTTGAAAGACGCAATTCATAAAGATGAGAATGAGTTGAATGTCATTCCTAATCGAACTCTGATGACCTCATTTCGACATCAGATGGGGTACATTTCTATGTGAGCCGCTTTTTTTTATTTAGGACATGTAGAATAGTTTTAACTTCTTTTTTTTTCATGTTTGGCGGCTCTAATTTTTTTTACTAGACATATTCTCTTATACGAAAATAGTGGAATATATTCCATTTTTTATCTTTATTCAGTCAACCTGACGGCTCTAATAAAGCACTAAAGGAGATAAAGCCTCTGGAAAGACTGGATGAAGTTTTTGAAAACAACAGCAAATGTTTTCATCCGTACAGGTAAATACAAAATATTATAAAAGTGTTGATACTAAATCTTCATCAATGTCTTCTAGTCCTGAAAGCCACAACATAATAATATGTGGCTGCAGCTTGACATTTATAACTATCTACTGCACACACGCACGTTTTTGGTGTCAGGCGCCTTCTTGCCTTCTTACCTTCTCGTTACTTCATTAAAACAGCAATACAATAGCTATATCTGCTTTATTATGACTATGAACATCTTTCAGATAAGCTCTTCTTCAGGCTAATCCAACATACAAAGTATAATATATCTACCTTTTATTTAGATCGTTCCTTATAAAGACAATAGAGCTTATTTTACTTTTTGTGTCACTCCTGCGGCTTCTTTTTCATGCGTATCCCCTTTTTTGAAGTGACTTGTTGATCTTCATTTCACTTCATTATACGCAAGTCACATTATATTTCATACAATCCATCATGCTGGTGTCTTCTTTTCTTGCTTCGGCAGGATGAATTCGCCTACTGTAGAAGACCTGTTGTTATTAGGTCACAGTACCACTTCCTCGATCGAGCAAGTTGGTTTGATTGGCAGATTAAGCATCGTGCCTGATGACAAGACATGTGACAATCGAATGGGCACTATTTTATTCACAGATCTCGACGGGCAATATTCACTGCCTTGCAATGTAGACATTATGCGAAAAGAGATCTTACATTACCAAGTCATAATCACTTATTGGAACTACATCAGCTGTAGTGAAACCGATGTTAGTTACTTAGAGTTCAGTCTGAAGCATGTATATCGAATAGACGACACGACCATTTCTTTACTCGAAGAATGCCTGCAATTGGACGATCAAAGATTCGCAAGCTCTTTAATATGCAACCCATCATTAACTACTCCTGACCAGGTATGCGCTGGCATAATGAATGGTTGTGCACGCATTTATAGAGAAATAACTTATCTTTTATATATAGCTACTACAAACAGCTTCTGTGGGCGAATCTGTTCATGTTTTAGGAAAGGTAACGGCTATTTCCAGACTGTACGATCAGTCCGACTGTCCTGCGACCTTCTTCATTCAGCTTGCTCCAGAAGAAGGCTTGTCTGCTTCAATCACGATATTTTTTAAAGAAATAAGTTTAGTCGAATACTATCCCATGTTTAGAATTGGGTGTTTTTACGCCTTTCAGCACATACATTCTACGCCAGCCAGTTTAATTCTTGATGCACTTGAGCAGAATGAGCCAGTATTTATATATGACAGCATTATGTCCTCCGTTCAGATGATATCAATTTACCACTACAGAACATATGCCCCAACACGCCCGTCAATGATTCATCCGGAAGCACTTGATGGCACTATAAGCATAGACTGTCAGATCAAACGTGTGATTGATGTTTCCCTTGGAATATACGAAATAGAAAATGGGGAAATCATTTGCTTGCTCAATACCCCCAAGTACGATAGAGCTCGTCCATTTCGTGTATCAACCATGCTTAGACTAGATCATGTACATAGGATACATGCGCAGTCAGAAGATGGAGCAAATAGCTATCTCTTTCAACATCTGTGGGAAATAGACTCAAGGCCCAGCTACAGTGTTATTGTTGCCTGCTATAAAAGCCATGTACAAATTAATTCTTTTCCAGACCATTGCGAACTTGTACAGACTACACGCTGGCCCTTTTCTACCAATGAATTGCTTTATATGAATGCCCCAAGGCTATTGCATATCATGGAAATATTCGCCTTCTTGAAAATGGAACTAAAGATAGTCCTAGAACCCTTCAAGCTAGCATATGATCTTGAGCATCTCTTATTCAGAAGTGCTGGATCAGCGTATGAAAATCATATCGTAAAGTTTCTCAGGCATGACATTAGATGTACTATCTTAGATGACGCTTACAATACAAAAGAAAGCTTGAATAACTATACCATTTGCCTAAGATCATTCTCGACACTATCTTCCATACTACCGCGCCTGCAAGTATCTGCCAAAGAATCAAGTCCTCTTTCAAGTATAGGGTCTACTGGTGGTTCAAATTTTCTTCCGGTTCCTCTATTTACCGCCGAAATCAACGAGCATTCCTTTGGTCACGGTGTCTTGGGACTCATCGTTGCTGCATATGATGGTACATTCTATTTCATGGGTGACAATCATCAGATGCCCATTATCGTCTCTAGTCAAGCAGAAGAATGGATACAAGAAGGTGTATACTTGCTCAAGCGGGTTCATTATATCAAGGAAGATATGCTATACTCCACTATTAACGAAAGCAACTCAGTCACTTTTGAACACTTGATCTGCACAAATGATGACGTCTTTCTTGTTGAGACATACAGTCATGCTAAGTTGACGTTCTTTTGTCGCCCACTGATTAACTCCCATGGCATCTCACGTTTCTCTATCCCAAACAAGCTACATCTGCAGCAGCTAAGTGACAGCGTGTACCACGTCATTTATATACTACGTATTTATCCTACAAAGCTAACACAAAGCAACTCATGGCTAGAGTCAAGTATTGATTGTGATGCATATACCCTAAATTATCCCTCAGTTAACAAAAGGCACTATATGCTAAGACTCAGTTCAAGAAAGGGAAGTCTAAAGTACAAACCGAGATTAAAACCAGACCATTGGTATATACTCAGGGGGCCGCTCAAGGGCTATTCTCAAGAACTAGATGCACAAGAACATGTATTTTATCCCATTCATATTCAAGCAGAGGACGAACTTGGCCCATCATCTTGCATCAAACTGTACTATAGTGAAATCGCAACAGAAACCCCTCGTTTTTCAAATGTAATTCATGATATCTCTGAGCTAGTGAATGTGCAGGTTGGACTAAGCAATCGTATCAACATAAAGGGAATCATTGTCGACAAGAGTTTTCAAATAGAACGCGATACAGGATTGACTAGGACAGAGAATGTAGCAGTGATGTTTGAAAATTTTAAAGTAGGAACAGGCGTATCAAAACGAAAGCTATACATACGCCTTCGCCAGCCCTATACTCTTGAAACAGTAGGTATATACCTTGATATAGGCCGCGTGAGATACCCTCTAGGGTTAATTCCTGGCGCCTATGTGATCATTAAAAACGCAACATTAAAGAAAACCAGTAACATTGGGGGGAAAATGTACTGCAAAGCGGATGAACATTCCACTGTAGAGATAGTCAGCACAAATCCTCTGCATGAACCCTCCGTTACATCGCCCTATAAAACGACAACGAACTTATTATGCTTTGCTCCAGGCGAATGTAATGATTATATGCGCGGTGTCCATCGAATATTATGTTCCATAACCAACATCGTCAAATTTTATACAACAGCAAGGTGCACAGGGTGCCGTTCGACTTATAAGGAAAGCAAATGTACAAATTGTCATACCGATCGGGGTTATGTACTGTTCGCTAATGCCGAAGTGGACATCAGTGACGGGACAATACCTGGCATCGTCTATATCGAAGGGGAACGCCTTGTCTTTCGTATGTTACAGCTGAATCAGAAGTCAAAAGAGTGCTTCAAACAGTACGTTGCTAAACACGGCATAATTTCATATACCTCAAGCAGTAATCAAAAAGAACTACAAACAATATTTTACAATGCCAAAAAGGGATCTATTTTCATATATTGTGAGCATATGTCTGAAGAAAGAGCCGCACAAGGTACACTGGAAAGGTCAAAACCAAAACTCCGGGCTTTGGAAATTGAACCTGTTGATTATGCGGCAGTTGCATGGGACATTTTGAATACATAAAATAGACTTACAAAACAGAAAAGAATATAGAAAGGCTTTTTAAAAGTTTACTAGAAGAAAAGAAATAAATAAAAAAATCTGGGTAGAAAAGGGGAGGCAAATTAAGAGAGTACTTCTACGAGAATGGAAAGTACTTCATCGATATCTCCATTATACATCATCAGATACTGCATTGCTAAATTATCACAGCGAAAACCCTAGTTCAAAATCTGTTAGTTTAGAAAGTTTTTCTTATTTTGCCATGATTGCATTACCATTTCACGAATTCTTTGAAGCTCATCTTTATACTTGAATTCTGTGTCCAATACATCATCTTCCTTCTTGATAGTCATAACAGACTCATAACTATTTGATACTTTTTCATTTTCCTCATGCTGCTCAGTTTCTACTACTAGGTATGATTCTTGACTTGCGACAGACTCGACTTCATATTCATCTTCTCCACTGCTACGCTTTGAGTGGGTATGATCATCAACGAATTCCTCAGAGCTAAAGTGGAGTTCTGATATGACGGGGCTGCTACCATGACTTTCCAAATGATCGTCAAACGTGGTTCTGTCGGTACTGGTTGCTGTAGAGTGATCATCGTGATGCTCATGAGTAGTCGAAATGGTAGGATAAATCATGTCATGATTGTTGGTTTGATCAACAGAATCCTCTGCGACTTTAATATCGCACCACAATTCATCACCAAAACGAATACCATCTGGTGTAGCAAAGCAGAAGAAGCTGCTGTAATTACCAGGAGCATCAGGTGCTTGAAGTTCAGCTGTAATACATGCTTCTTCATTGGGAGCAAGAGCTGGAAGGGTAAATCCTTCTGGATAGGACATAGGGTAAGGCTTAAAGATATTGCCACCATTGAACAGTAGGCGAGATCCAGCCGGCCATTGAACATTACCATTGTTTTTGACTTTCCACATCTGTGGGCATAAAGTTAGTATATGGTTCATAAAAGGATGAATATTATTATTACCTTAATGAAGTGCTTATTTGGTACAACTACGGTTCCATCTGGGACATTAAGATCAGCCAAAAATTGGGAAGATATATTTGGTTTTTCTTCAGTTGTCACTTCAGATGATGTTTCCTTCTTTTCTTGTTTAGGCTCTTGATAAGATTGCTTCAAATTGGGAGATTCTGATATGTCCGATAATGTGCGTTTCTCTGATTGAACACTACACAATGAATGAACGTCTTCTGGTTTGTCATACTCTGGAGCATTTTCATGAATGATTGTGGTTGCATAGGCTGGCCGTTCAATTGCCATTCTTTGCCTAACTTTCGCTTCGTGTTCAGCTTGAAGTCTCTCTTGTATACCTGGGGATACTGTGCGTGTTGTCGGCCTTCGAACTGGATTTTCCATTTCTGTTGGTTTGACCTCGATCGGAGGCTGACTGACAGCTACAAGAGGTTTCTTCTTACCGGCCGTCTCGTCTGGCTTCTCTACAGTAGAACGACGACGAGGAGATGTATTTTTGGGTGTCCTAAATCTTGGTAAGAGCGGACGAGTTGTCGCCCCAACGATTGGTGTTCTTATTTTGAGAAACACATGACTCTCGTCATGGATTGTTTGTGATTTTTCTTCACATTTTTCACATAGATCGTAATCGGGACAGTGTCCACACTAGCATCAAGCCAGAATTTAGCTGTGATTTTAGAAATAATTTCAAAAAGCACTTACTTTATATCGGATACCTGTGATGTTGGAGTCACAACAATCACATAGGATATTTGGATGCTGTACTACGGAAGCTGAAGTCTGAGTATCAGATGCTTTTGGCTTTGTTTTGCCTTTTCTTGGCGAACTACCGACAAGACGAGTAGTGAATGTATGGTTTGGTGGATGATTTTCATGCACGGCTTCGAAGCATACATTGCAAAGGTCAAAATCTAGCATTCATAAAAGTATTAAAAATTACTGCTTTCTACTTTCCATTTTTACTCACCTGGACAAGCATTGCAGGTATGCCGTATTCCCACAATGTCAGAGTTACAATAATCGCATATGAATGTAATGTCAGCCTTTATATCATCTTTTATAAGTTTGAAGCTATGTTCAGGATTATGAGTCATTCGGCACTTGCAAGCGCTGCATAAATCAAAATCATCGCATGTTTCACATCTCCATCTTTGTCTATAATAAAAAGAAAAGAGTAAATAACTAATGGGAAATAGTAGCGGTAAGTTATTACCCTCTTATAAGAGAATAACATCCATTACAGATCACATCAAATTGAAGGTTTTCGTTAAACACGGGGGTTGTCTTGTTGGAAGCAATAGAGTTATAAAGTTGTGCTGCTGACTTAATAATCAACTCAACATTTTCATTCGTAGTCCTTGCAATATTCTTTTCTACTGAAGACACATTTTTTTCAACCGTAGATGTGATCGTCTGTACGTTCTTCTCTACAGTCGATGCGATATTCTGTACGTTCTTCTCTAACATAGAGGATATGTTTTGTACGTTTCTTTCCAAGTTGGACTGGAAACCTGATAAGCTTGATTCAAAACTGGATAATATTGATTGAATTGATCCAGCTACTGACTCGACTGCGGATCCAGCTGTAGATGATGCATCAAATGTATCTTTGTGATCATCTTGAGTAGTGGATTGTTCGTATTGATCAGACACGATGGTGAGAGGATAATAACCACCTCTGCATGTTCTGCCAAGTTCAACCAGATAACGTAGCTGAGCCTTGTCAGATATATTTATAATATCGCCATCTTCGTCTTTATAACGAAAACTGAAGTCAAAACTGTCGGGAAACTGAAAAACTACTCGAACCTAGTATAATACATATTATTAGACTACAAATGAACATTTAGCTAGGATATTTTTTGAATGACCTCCTGTTTTAAATCGAGATAAAAGTTGTATGCGATGTAATCCGTAACTCTTACTATTTTTGTTAAAGGAGGATTATTGCTCTTTATTTTGAAGTAATAGCAGGTCATCCTTTTATTTTTTTCTTTTTAAAAAAAAAAAAAAAGAGAAAAGAAAGAGGTGAAAAGGAGTATCAGCTTCAGTTGTATGAGAATTTACTCGGAGTTTGTCTGAGCCACAGAATAATGCCAAATTTAGCAAAACAATGCAAACTTAAACAAGCAAATTTACAGCTTTAATAAATACAAAAGTTAAAGGGTTCGACATCTATAATAATCTTGAGGAGATATATCTCCATAAGAACTAGTTCTCTTCCTTAGCATATCCTCTTCTTCTTCCTTTTGTTCAAGTTGTTCAGACGGCAACAGAACTGCTCTATCAATAGCAGCAGGAAGACCTAAAACAAAGCATCAATAATCTACCATCCATCTCAGTCTTTGCCAACTTACCCCTGTGGCGTCCTCTATACATCAATATAATCAATGCGAACTTGCTAATTGGATGATATTGTGCAACCTGAGATGTTGGTGTGTTTGGATATCCAATAGAAGAACCAATATTTCCAAAGGCTGATACACACTCATATATCACAGTTGACATTGTGATAGGTGATGGTGACATGATTTCTTTGGTTTCTACTACGCATATGACAAATATACAAACTATAACCCAACATATTTCGCTTGTCAATTGTCTCTGAATTTGAGTCCTCACATAAAAATCTGGTCCTCTGAACGCCCTACGAGACGCAGTGACGACACTGCTGACAGTATTGGTACGTCGAAGTCGATTGAATGGCATGGAATTGTTACTTTCTATATCAAAGCCTTCATTTTCATTATTTCTACTATAGATTCCTAATGCGCGTTCCTAAGTCAATATATATTAGATCATAGTATTTAACATGAACTAGGCTATTCATTACTTGATACACGTTACTATTTCGCATTAAAATAGCGACAGGATATACGCTGATATACATTGCAACTATATACGTAATCTGTGTTCCAGGATTGAGATTCATCAAATCAACAACGTTATAACCAGCTATGATAAAACACGAGTTAATCAAATGATATTTAGCTTTCTAAAGTGTAAAACTTACCACTTCGCGTAGTCACCGATTGAAATAGCCCATCGAGTATACATGTTCCCCAGCCTACACCTTCCAACACAGGTAGCCAATAATTCAACGCAACAAAACTGATAAACTCTGCAAAAGTTATTCCAACCAGGACAACCAATAGCCATCTGGTCTGGTAGGATGGAAACAGGGTTGTGTAGCAGCGACGAGGATGGTCTAGGAGATACTTGAGTGTCTCTCGTCGCATGTAATAAGATTGAGGAGTTATTTTGTACATGATCCATATAACAAGTCGTAACAATATCGCATAGGCTGTATTTCCCGCTAGAATAAGCATCATGATCAGAAAGAGCATAAATGGAGCTTTCTCGAAGGGCTGCATGCTTTCGTCAAGTTGACTTAATCCCAGATTGTTGAATGATGCCAAGCTTGTGAAAAAGGAAAAGCCCCACGCATTGATTGGTTCGTGCTTGTCATTCAAAAGTACACTTTGAACATATGGAGACGATGCGATGTATGAACGAATGATGAATCCAAACCCAACTATGAAGAAGATATAATACATGGGCACTAACCGTGACAAGAGGTCCAGAGCTCTATATTCTGCTCCTCCTAGTCTATATCTCTGTTCTCGTGTCAATTCACTTTTTTGAATAGGTCCTCGCTTGATCAACTTGATGTTCTCGTCATCATTACATCCAACATCAAAATTAACAATAGTTATGCTATCTCCTGTACTATGACCGCTGCTTGTGCACAGTGGGTTATCATTGTTTGCAATTTTGTGTATCATGTCTTCACACTGCCTTTCCTTCTCTAGCCTTTTACGTGCAATTTCTCTTTGTTGTTCAATATCTCCTGCAAACATGATATTTTGGTTGCTCCACATGGCACCAGCACCATCTGTCGTAAGCGTATCCTGGTGCTTATTAACGCTACTGTTCTCTTCCTGACTAGCTCCACGTTGAATATCCTCTGATGACCTTGATTTTCGGTTTACGTGAAGTAAAGCATCTTGTATTTGGTCAGGCTCTTCTTTGGTCAGATATGAACATTGGCTGCTCGAAGGATTATTACTTTCTTTATCTTCTTTAAGCGAAGACTTGTTGGATTCCTGAAATAAGCAGTCGTTACTGTTAGGATAATCCCGAATATCATCATCAATAGAACGCGGTTTTTGTGTTTGAAATAAGGATCCTGATAAATTTATCATGCTTCTACATCGTCCACTCTCGCTTGGCTCTTGTTCGCTCTTTTGCTGTGATCTAACAGATAAAAATGATAATCTCTTGTGCAGTGGTTTTCTCAAGTTCTGTTGTTGATGACCTACAACTTGCTGAACGTTTCTTTCAAACTTCCTTTGATTGACTTCTCGTATATGCTGTGCTTTGTTGAACAAGAGAACATCTTCAAACCGTTTTGAGAAATAATGTTTCCGAACGATGACAACCGCAGTTGATATCATGATATGGGAGCTCAAGAAAGATCCTAGATAGATAATACAGAGTTGTGAGGTGGATAAGGAGGAAAGAGCAATGGTATTTAGACCGGTATTAGTTGTTGCAGATGTCGCCATAAAAAGAGCGTCGATATAGTCCAGGTTCGTGTAAGGATTAATGTACAAGAGAGCTGAGCATATCAGTGAAAGAAACAGAATATACAAGTAGTGTAATTGAATGAAATGAACTCGTTCATTATAAAATTGTTTGACAGTTTCCCATAGTTCAGATAACATTGAAGGAAAGAAGGAAAGAAAGAAAAAGGAGGGAAGGAAAAGGGGATGTGTAGATGTAGAAAGGGATAAAGACTTAATTTATAAACCTAAAAAATGCAAGTTTGATTGCAAACTGACCAGCTCGGAAATAGATAATAGTAAGAAGTCTGGCAGTAACATGATAGATATAAAAAAAGTGGCATTTAAGGGTTGCCTTCATGCTATCTCTATCTATTGATTTTTATAAAAGCAATTCTAGACTCCAGGATTATATTCTAAAGTAATCCGCATACGATGCGTCATTTATCAAAATGGAATGATTACAATTGCTGTCAGTCATTGTCATGCTCTTATTCAATGCTTTATGATCTTTACAGTTTCTTTTAATCCGAACTTTCCCCTTTTTTTTTCATGAGAGTGTCGTTCTATTGCTATTTTTTTCCTTTATTAACAAATTTGGTTTTTTTTATTCAAGTAGGTAAAGACTATACACATGCAGATAAATATTTAGAGATCCTTGTTCTTCTTCTCCTTCTTTTCCTTCTTCTTTTCTTTCTTTTCCTTCTTGGCCTTCTTGGTGGCCTTTTCTTCACTTTCAGGTTCAGCAGGACGCTTATTATTTTCATTCACGGCATTATCTTTGGCAGCAACGTCAAGTACAGTGATCTTTGGTGCCATACCAGCAGCGGCAACAACCTTTTCTGATGGTGTGCCAAAGACAGGAGCAGGATCTTTGCCATCTGGGTTGTTGGAGTAATCAACGTAGGTAGACTTCCAGACAGCGGGTGTTTCTTCGGTCACACGACCATACTTGTCAAGCTTGCCTTCTGTCTTGAGCTTCTTCTTGGCAAGAGCAACAGGGCCCAAGCCCCATCGACGAGGATAGGTATCACGTTCCATGATAACACGCTTCACCTTAGCGACTACACCGTGGTCACATGTGGCCATGACAGCCGTTGTCATCTGTGCATAGGCAAGAGCAATAGCTTCACCCTTTGTTGTCATCAAGACAATTTCGTCATTAATTTCAATACCGCTTTCAAAACGCAAGAGACCGGGAATCATCAACTTGGCACCATAACAGATGGCATTCACAGCACTGTCTTTTACAACAACACGCTTATAGTTGGTCAAAAGAGATTCCAATGGACGGATCACACGACGAAGATAGCTTTCATCCTTTGTGTTGTCATATAACCATTGTGCGTCTAATACATCGTGCATTGTAACAATATCATCCTATAAGCTTCTTGATTAGTACGTTGGCTAACAACAGTAATTTTCACTTACATTTTCAGATGTTGTACCAGAACGGACACGACGAAGTTCTTGCATATGACCACCAACACCAAGCAAGAGACCCAAGTGAACACAAAGAGTACGCATATATGTACCAGCTTCACAGGATGCCCAAAAGACAGCGAGATGACGGTCGTTATCGAATTCGATCAGCTTGGATTCGTGAATAGTACGGACACGCAATTGACGCTTGACAGCAGAAATAAGAGGAGGACGTTGGAAGAGTGCACCTGTCAAAGTTTCAATAGCCTATAAAAGAAGTCAGTATATACATAAGTCATGTCGAATAAAAGCTTTACCTGTGACAACTTCTTTTCGCTTTCAATTTTATCATGGAGACGGAGAATACAGACGTACTCCTTACCAGCTCCTTGTTGTGATTTGACTAAACGAGTAGCACGATCGATACAAACAATCAAACCACCAGTAACTTTAGGGTCAAGAGTACCAGAGTGGCCAGTCTTTTCGACACGGAGAATACGCTTGATCCAAGCAACAACTTCATGAGAGGAAGGATTGGCAGGCTATGGTAATTTAGTTCAAAATTCTCTAAATGGTGTATTTTATTTTTTACCTTGTCAAGGTTGATGATACCATAACGAACGTATTCACCAAGAGGACGCTTCAAGGGAGAAGAACCACTGGGGATAGGAGTGTAGTGACCAGTACGAACATTGAGTTGATCGTAGTTCTATCAAAAGAGTTAATGACAGTTCTAGACATTAGCTGTTATAAACTAAGCTAACCTTTAAGAGAAGTGGCCACTTGGAAGTGTCAATGCTGGGTGCTGTAGCAGTTGGCTTAATAATAGTCTCGTCGGCCATGATTGACAAAAGTCTGAAGAATGACAGGTCGCAATAAAATATTTACCTTTAAACAATTTCAGGAAAAAAAAAAGCCACGATGTGACTTTATTTCAAGCAAACCCACAAATTGGCTTACAGCAGACTAAAAATGGAAATGTTCTGTGTTAAAGTCTTTATGGCTCATATGGCTACAAATCAAACTCATTTTATGCTATTTATGCTGCCTGTTGTATTCATAATTGACACTTTTATAAAGATTATTTATATCTCATGTTACTATTGAATTCAATCCACCCTTCCATGTATATATATTGCATACCTTTGTCTATGGCAATCTGTGAAACTGTCACATCGTTGAACAGGCAAGCTCAAGACTCACAGTAATGGACGAAAAGACCATACTAAATATCTAATTCTCTAACTGATTACACTGTGTTACACATGCAATAATCTTTATAGACTTTCAGTAGCTACAGGAGTGCTCGTACTTTTTTTTTTGTTTCTGCGCAATGTCCCAAAAACATCCAAATGCTTAACTTTGATCTCTACACATTTATTAGTGCAATCGTATACTATCTATTACTTGCTATTGCCCTCATTCAACAGATCAGTGTGTTGTCCTCTTCTGCTGACGTTGCCACGTTGGTTACTGTATCTGTTGTCGTGGCATTTTCCCTTTCTATTTCGGACCTTGATTTTCAATGTTGATTGTCATGACTTCTTCTCATAGGCTAAAAACCTCTAAAATTCAACATCCGTCGTTTTTCTATTGTGAGAGTAGGCAACCTTCCACATACACTTTCCTCATTTATTTTGTGAACACCTTTCATCTGTTTTAGTTACCCCATTTTTACATAAATAACAAAAAGAGATAAAAATGGTAAACATGAAAAGTCCCAAAAGAAAGAAACAAGAGAGAAAAAGAGAGAAGGAAGAGAATGACTATTGTCATCAACCATCTTTTCCTCTCTCTTTCTTTTCTTTCTCTTATTTGAAAAGTACACTAACTAATTGACCTTTTATTTTCACAGGGCATGCGCATCGATATAAAGGCAAGCTTACAACAATTTATTTTACTCGAGATGAAATAACATCTTTTCTAGCGTAAACTATTATCGCGCTCAGAGCGTGTTAAATGTGTCGACTTGCATCCAACAGAGCCTTGGTTGTTGACAAGTTTATATAGTGGACTTGTTCAAATCTACAATTATGAAACACAGGTATTTAAAGCAAACACATTATCCATTGCAATTAATCACACGCATGCATAGGCCATAGTTAAAACAATCGAAGTGTCAGAGACACCTGTTCGTGCTGCAAAATTTGTTCCTCGTAAAAATTGGATTGTTACAGGCGCTGACGACTCTCAAATCCGTGTATTCAACTACAACACACTCGAAAAAGTCACTGCTTTCGAAGCTCACCCTGACTACATTCGTTGTCTTGCAGTTCATCCTACACAACCTCTTGTCTTATCAGGCTCCGACGATATGACAATCCGACTTTGGGATTGGGAAAAGGGATGGAAATGTATTCAGGTATGAAATAATGCTGCTATCCATGTTGAACCTAAAAAATTGTGCGTGTTAGGTATACGAAGGGCATGCTCATTTTGTGATGCACTTGACTTTCAACCCTAAAGATTCAAACACCTTTGCATCTGCTGGACTTGATGGAATGATCAAAGTTTGGTCTCTTGGATCATCCGCTCCCAACTTTACTTTGGAAGGACATGGAAAGGGTGCTAATTATGTAGACTATTATCATGGTGGTGATAAACCATATTTGATCTCTTGCGCCGATGATAACCTCATCAAGATTTGGGATTATCAAAACAAAAACTGTGTTCAAACACTAGAAGGACATAATCAGAACGTCAACTTTGCCGCTTTCCACCCTAATTTACCCATCATCTTATCAGGCTCTGAAGATGGCACTGTGCGCATTTGGAACTCTGATACATACCGTTTAGAAAATACGCTGAATTATGGATTGGAGCGCGCTTGGTGCATGGCTACTCAAAAGAATGGTAACAACGTTGCCTTGGGTTATGACGAAGGTGCTGTTGTCATCAAACTCGGTAGAGAAGAACCTGCTGTATCTATGGATTTATCCGGAAAGATCATCTGGGCCAAGCATTCCGAAATTCAAACCACAAACATCAAAACAGGAGTTGGTAATGCTGTGACATATTTTTGTACATAACTTTAAGCCTAATTTTTCTCTTATATTAGATGATAATGCAAAGGATGGAGAAAGATTGGCCCTTCCTATCAAGGATCTCGGTAGCTGTGAAGTATATCCTCAAACTCTCCAACACTCTCCCAACGGTCGTTTTGTCGTTGTTTGTGGCGATGGTGAATATATCATCTACACTGCTTTAGCCTGGAGAAACAAGAGCTTTGGTAGTGCCCTCGACTTTGTTTGGGCAGAGGACTCTAACGTCTATGCTGTTCGTGAATCTGCCACTAAAGTGAAGGTATTCAAGAACTTCAAAGAAAGACCTGGTTTACTCCCAAAGCTTAACTACAGTGCAGAGGGAATCTATGGTGGTGCCTTGCTTGGTGTTCGTGGCAATGGTTTCCTGAACTTTTATGACTGGGAAAATGGTCAAGTGGTCCGTCGTATAGATGTTGATTCCAGAAACGTCTACTGGTCAGATGCCGGTGACCTCATTGCTATTGTATGTGAAGACTCATTCTATGTGTTGAGATACAACGCTCAAGCATATGCTCAATATATTGAAAGCGGTGGTGACCCAGGCGAAGAAGGCGTTGAGGATGCATTCGAATTCATTACGGAAATATCCGACAGCGTTAAAACTGGTACCTGGGCTGGCGATTGTTTCATCTACAGCAATAACTCCAACCGCATTAATTATCTCGTTGGTACTGAGACTTATACAATCAGTCATTTTGATAAGCCAATGTATCTGTTGGGATACGTGCCTCGAGACAACAGAATCTACATGGCTGATCGAGATGTCAACATCTACAGCTATGGATTGTCATTAACTGTTATTCAATATCAAACTGCCGTTCTTCGTGGAGATTTGGAATCGGCTTCTACTTTACTCCCTTCTATTCCAGATAATCAGCGTGGACGTGTTGCTCGATTCCTTGAGTCTCAAGGCTTGAAAGAACTTGCCTTGGATGTGTCAACAGATATTGATCAACAATTTGATCTTGCCGTTCAACTTGGAAAATTAGATATTGCTTCAGGTATTGCGCATAAATTGGACAGTGAGCCCAAGTGGAGATCATTAGGCGATGTTGCCTTATCATCATGGAACTTCAAATTAGCTGAACTATGCTTGAAGAAGGCTAACGATCTCAGTGGTCTATTACTCTTTTATACATCCAATAACAACCGCGCTGGAGTAAGACAAGTTGCGGATATGGCCAGTAACGTATATTGTCGTTTTGTTTGAATATTGCATAGCTAACCATTTTTATCTATAGTCGAACAAGGCAAAAACAATATTGCATTCAACTGTTTATATCAATTGGGAGCTATGGAAGAAGCCATTGATTTGTTAATCAAGACCGAACGTATTCCCGAAGCCGCTATGTTAGCAAGAGCTTATGCTCCTGAACAAATTTCGAAGGTGGTTAATGTGTGGAAGAATTCTCTTTTGAATAAGAATAGAAAGAAGACTGCAGAAAGTTTAGCAGATCCAGCACAATATCCAAACCTTTTCCCTGAGCTCACAAAGCAAGAATCAGAACCGCTTTTGGACATTGAAGATAAACAAGAGGAAGGAGAGGAGGCTTCTCCTGCCGAAGAAAACGAAGAATAAACACGGCCTATATTAATATCGATTTTCTATACACATAAAATTAAAAAAAATGCTGGGTGTATTTTAGTTCCCTCATCAGATCACTGATGTCTTTTTTTTTCTATGTATTAAAGCTTCGATCAACAGCGACGATAGCAAGCATGAATCAATTCATGAGCATCTTTATGAATGAACAATACAAATATACTGAATAGGATAACTTTTCTATGATCAATCTTTCTATATTTCTCAAAGATGCTATTAGAGGCGTTTACTGCTTAGTCCGTTATTTACAGCTGTACGAATGTGAATTTCTGATTATTTTATAGACACCTTTTAAATAATAGCTTGAAAAACCTCATCTTATCCTGATACGTATACAATATATAGCTACTCTTGATCGATGATTTCCTCATTGCAACTTCATTTTCTCCTTCTTCAGACAATGTAAATAAATCCTTTAATGTGCGTGACTTTTGGCTAAGCAAACAAGGTGTCACATTTTGTGTAATGATCTACATTTGTACAAATGCGGTAAAATTTATTTAAAGACCCTTATCCATACAAACGTCTTTTTTCACTATGTTTAGAAACGTTTAATTTTAGCATGCTTACTAAATACTAAGAGCACCTATACCTATTATGACATTTAGTAACAGGAGTAAGCCTCTTCTTTATGTTACTATCTATTCCTTCTACTACTACGCTGAGAAGGTAGGTCTCTTGGACATTTTTTTTTCAGACCAATAAAATCCTCTTTTATTCAAATGACAATACTCGTATGAAAACTAACCAGTAAGCTTTATGCAAAAGAAAGAAGACCAAGAAATTGCCATGAATTCAGGACATTAGTTACACGCCAAGCCCATTTAGCCAATAAGATTTCATTATTTCAAGGCTTTTCGGCGGCCAATTTCCTGTTACTTTGAAGGCTGTTATCCGCTTTTCAATTAAATCGTTTATTCATTTGAAATATTGCACGTTTTATTGGTAATTGTATCTAATGGCATATATAATGTCACTTGTAGCGTTGTGTATGTATACACGTAATAATAAATCAACGTAGTGGTTATATTCATTTAGATAATCCTCGATATTAGTAATCAATCACATACAACTTGCGCAACAGAAATAAAGACATAAATACACTTTGATTAAAGAAAGATACGAAACTCTTGGCTATTTTTATCAGAATTGTTTCTTGGCTAAAACACGCAAAGTTGTGACAATCATTGCTTCCAATTCAACAATCAGCGAAGCATACAAGGCCTACGCAATGCCATTGCACAGCTGCAATTATTCGATCTTTCTGCAGTCTATGCATGTGTGCGTATGTATATGCGTCAATAGATACTTTACTTTAATAAGTAATCTAAAGTTAGATAGCTTTTTTAAAAGTAAGTTAGGTTACACTGAGCATTAGGTTTCGGATCGAATAAGAAATTCTTGCAATCACTCTGACAAAGAGCCTTTGTTAAAGTATACTTCTCTTTAACGATTCAGTAAATAAAAGTACCTAATCGCATTTTCAAAAGCAAATACATGGCATTATTGAATTCGTAATGACATTCAGTAGCTAAAATTAAGTAAAATACAAAGGGCGGTTGACAGTGGTTGGGCTAGTCGTGTAACATAGTCATTGTCTATAAAAAGGACCCGGATTCATGAAATTGTACTTTATTACACTTTTATTTCTATAACAACATGGATAGCGACATTCCAAGTGCTTTTGCTAATCGACCTTCAGGAGACAAGACCTGGTTGTTATTCCATTATATTCCCAATCAACCCTTATCTATTGTCAGTCTTGTGGTGTATATAATCTTCATGCTCTACTTTGCATACAGAGTCTACAAAACAAAAAGCCGACGATTTTTATACATCTTATCTTTTACAGCATTTATGGAAGTAGTGGGTTATTTAATTCGAGTACTGTGCTATAGCTTTACATCCATTGCTCGATTTGCCGTTATGAATTTGTTCCTTCTGCTTGCTCCTAACGCGCTAGCATTGGTCAATTACAAGACTTTAGGTGAAATGATCAGGCTGTCCAGAGTACAAGAAAAACGGTTCTACTTGAGACCCAAGTTTGTGACATGGTTCTTCTTTGCAAGTGACATCTTTTCCTTCTTTTTGCAAGGCTCTGGTGGTGGCCTTCAAGCAACAGGCAACGCCGACACTGGTAAAGCAATTGTCTTGGTGGGTCTGTTCATTCAACTGTTCTTTCTTGCTTGCTTCTTTTTCATCACCATTTATGTTTCCCGCAATGACAATTACACGTTTTATGTAGCAGGTGTTGATAATCCCAAGCGAAAACTCGCCATTTGTCTGTTTTCCACGCTGGTTCTTATTTACATTCGTTCTATTTATCGTGTAATTGAATACGCTACTGGTTATGATGGGCCTGTCGCCAGAACGGAGTGGGCTTTCTATGTGTTTGATACATTAGCAATCGCAATCTGCTTTGTTCTGTATGCCATATATTACATTGGCAATTACATTCCTAAACGTGATGCTCAGGAGGATGTTACGGCTACATCAAGCATTGATCTAAACACCGTCAGAATGTTAAAGAATCCTGTTTAAACACTTAGAATCCATTTATAACATTTATATTATTATTGCATTTATTTATATCTCAATAAAGCACAGATATTTATATAACTGAAACCAATGTGTAAAGTAACAGAGCCACATGTACCATTTCGCTGGCCTTCGTATCTTATACAGTTGGCATTTAAAACCTCTTATCGTCTTACATTCTGATCGCTTTGTCTTAAGCATGCTCTTTATTTATCCTTCTATAGATAGTGGGATTGCAGATGTTAGCGAACCTGATGAGCGTAGTGGATATATTTTACCTGATAATATTGCTGCTATAGCTGCCATGGATTTTGACTGATATTATCGAGAAGCATAAGGATTTTGTCTATGACTTGAATGGTGCTGCCGTAACAGGAGACCAAGGCGTCGAGAACTTCTCCAATAATGTTTCTGTTGTCGAATACTACAATGTGTTTATATCAAATCATTGCCACATGGGATATGATTTAGCTACGGCTAAAGTCTGCTTTGGCGGAAGAATTACTACAGTAACTAATTTCACTGAAATCTTGCTAAGCAGAATACCAACAACTGTAAAAGAATATCTCACCAAGAACAAACACACCTTTTTACAGTAAGGAACAGAACCAAGATTTCATATATAATAGGCTGCTTTCAATTTAACAAGTGGTTTATAAAGCATGGATTAGCTACTTCAGTCACTCTTTTCTACGTATTGACTGAGATGTTTAAAGCTGATTCAGTACAATATTAACAACGATACATTAAATATCTGAATATTTATTTATCTGTAAGCATTGTATATTTATAGAGCAACAGATTTACATAAGAACGATTTGATGCATCTCGTAGACTACTCTTATTTAAGCCCAAATGCTGCTGTCGATGACAGTCGGAATTTTGCCATATGATAGTTAGTGTCATTCAAAAAGCGAGAATGTGATAGTAGATAGAATTTTATGCCTATAAATAAATGTTTAGCCGTGAGCAAGTAACATGATTTCAACATGATATTCCATTCAAGCCCTCTCCAATATGACTCTTTCCAACATCAACGCGACCCTTCTCCAAAGCGCTTCTAATATTGAGATGACGCTTTATTGGCTCTTACCTATGGTCAAATCAATAAAAAAAAGCACAGAACATTAATTTTAAAGTGATATTTATTCAATAGTCTTTACTTGCTTTTGTTCTCTCTTTGAAACGAAAACTAGTCTTCGAGTAGTCTCATATCTCTAAAAAAAAAAACATCGTCTCACAATGCTCCTACTTTTTTTTATTCTCAACCCTCTGCACTGAATCTCAACTGTTTAAATTCTATCTGATTACTGTACTTTTTGATTTATTTTACAAGGGTGGATGTTTTTAAGAAAATAAATATTAACTAATATACAAGAATTGAGGAAGTAGAAGGAAAGGGAAGGATAAGTGGTATAAGTATATAAATATATATATACAGGTGACGGTTGTGAAGGAAAAAAAATTAGACGTGAAAATGTTGACTGATAAACGAGTCCGTCATGATGTGGTCTTCTTCAGCTTTGATGAAATCATTTTGCTCGGACTCACATATAGCAGAAGGGTCAGTATACATGTCAAACATAGAAGAGGCATCTTTGAATAAGCTATCGTCACAGCCAAACAGATCCTTTTCAGGTGAAAAGGCATTGGATTCATTGCTGCTGTCACTGCTACTGATACTAAGACCACAAGAATCGTTTCCGCCAGCGGGAGACTCAAACATAGACTGTGCTTCAAATATCAATCCAGTTGGACATGTAGCGGTAGTAGGTCCAGGTAGCATGAGATCGTTCAGTGAAACGGTCCTTGCAGAAGCGCATCTCCTATCCATACTTGTTGGCGAAATACCATCATCTGCAGAATCAGTTGTGCCACTATGAAGCGATTCATTATCATCATGGGACTTGCGTCGAGTCGCCTTATGGCTTCTAGAGGCGAGTGCGTCCGCTGTGAGTGGTGATGTGTCCATACTGATCGAAGTTCTGCGGCGAGGATTTAATTCAGGCATAAATTTAGAGCGGTACACATCAAGGACGCGCTGAAGCAAACTCTTGCGATTAGCCAACTGTTTTGGGTTCAACCAAGCAAGTTTCCAAGCAAGTTCATTGCACCGTGCTTCCTCAAGTTGACGTTGTGAAGCAAAGGGGGAGTTCGTATTGATTTCCATTGCCCGAGGATAGACGCAGTTAGCCTTGCGAAATTCTGCATCAATGGAATCCAACGAAACTGTATCGACATTGATTCGAATGCGGCACTTGGATCGACCGTCACAGTCGTCAATGGATACCGTTTTAGGTAAATCAGTTTCTGACTTTTTGCTGCTCGTGCAACGTTCTTCCTCTTCAGGTTCTTCAGAGTCTCGTTGCTTGCGTTTACGGAGTGTACCCTTGAGTAGCTTCTCTTGACGAGCGACGCGGCGAGAACGCATGCTAGGATATCTGTTACGGTAAGAATCAACTGCACGTTGTATCAAGCCTCTTTTGCCGGCAATTTCGGATGCATTGAGGTAAGCTAATTTCCAGCCGAGTGTGTTGCATTCAGTTTCGTATGCCCAGCGGTTTCCCTTGTATTCTTCACGAGGAAGGTTTGCACGTGGGTACACCTAATTAGAGCGTAAGGACACGGATATTGCTGGTTACAGAGATACACTTACGCAGTTCTCGTTCTTGAAAGATTCGTCTAGAAGGCTAAGATCGACTTTTTCGATATCTGTACGAATAGAATAACGACGCAAAACTCTGTGGTGAGAATAAACAAAGCTAACCCATTCGATACCATCACGAATTTCGGTACGGGGCTCATGGCTTGTTATTGACGTGGGAGTGGGCGTAGCTGTAGTACTACTATCAGTAGAAGTTATAGTAGTAGTGGTAGTAGTAGTAGTAGCGGGAGCAATGGTGTCTTCTGTTACTGCTGCTGGTGTCGTTACATCATCCGTTGGATGATTAGAAGTGGTCATAGTATCTGTTGTAGAAGAAATTGAAGGAGAGACTGACATACTAGGTGAGAGACACTTATCGGAAAGTGCTCCGGGTGCTGCATTTACTGATAATGGTGATGGAGGTGGTGGCTTAGTTGCTTTTGATTTGGATGTCTGTGCTGCAGCTGAAGAAGCGATTGTGTCTGCTAGAGCCTTTGCTATCTGTGCTGCGACTAAAGCCCAATCATGATGTAAAGAAGTAGGTGTGGCAGCCGGAGTGGTTGACGTAGCCGGCGTAGTTGGTGCTGTGTTGAGAGGGAAAATGATATAAAAAACAATTTTTTATGAGTCATAATTTTTGCCTTACCGGAAGAGGATGATTGCTTTTTAATCTTTATTTTATTCAATGTCTTTTCAATTTCTTCAAGTTGTGTAGCTGTGAGTGCTTCGAGCAATGTTTCCGATTTCTCAGTAGGATGAAGCAAATCATTAACACAGAGCTGTAAGTGAGGATGTTCCGTACTGCTTGGCATATTATCTGTCGTTCAATAAGCAATGAATATTGTAGGTCGTTAATACACACGCGTGCGCGTTGGAAAGCTGTTTGTTGGAATAATAGCAAAGACTCAAAGGAAGGAAAAGAAGGAAGGAAGGTGTTGATTATAGATTTTATTGTAAGTGGAGATGGAAAATTTTTTTGACTTCAATTCAATTCCCGAATGAGAACCAACAACCGTGAGGAGAAAAAAATTTTTTGTTGCCTTCATTGTTCCCTTTGCCTTTATCTTTATTGACATTTCCAAAGTTAAAGTTAGGTTACACCAGCATGATGCCTAAATGGTAGCTTTGTTATTGAATCGTAACATAGCAACCATAGTCAGATCTTTTTTTTGTTCCTTTTTAGTTTTACAATTGCGGAATAAAAATGACAAAGGACCGCAACAGCTGAGTGTAACATAAGTTTTTTTGGAGAGTTGGTAAAAAGTTTATTTAGTTTTAATGAAACGATTGGATAGATTAAATCTTTTAACCGGCTCACTAACGGAAGAACGTTTCTATGGTAAGTGAGTCTGGATGGTAGCAAAACTGCTATCGGAATGCTACACAGATCGACAGTTCACAAAATTAACACAAAGTAACATTCTCACAGAAAGAAACCGGAAAAGAATAAAGATATAATGAGTTTTATAATAATAGTCAAATATGTCAAGGATGGATCACTGGCTAGCGGGAAAATTAATGCAAGAAGCACTGATCAGACATTCTATCGGGAACACAACAATCAAGCCATTGGCATGTATATTTAAAGACAGTTAAAGCATCTCTTAGTTAAGGTACACTTGTATAATCCATTGTACGTTCCTTTATAAAAGCGCTTTTATATAAAATAAGTGTATAGCTGAAGGGCGTATGTTTGATTGACAGGTAGAGCATTTTTGAAGAATATAAAAAATCTAATATGATTGGTACCAAATTTGTGTATTGTGTAACAATTTCTCTTTTTGAGTTGCTTACGGCTACGGAGGCGGCTTGCAATGGTACAACATGTTGACTTCTATGATCTGCAACACGCCTGAAAAACTCTCAGCCACTAGTTCCCGCGATCTTGCCCACGCACCAGCCCCTGCGCCATCCTGGTTCAAGTTGAGCAAGCCCTTTCTCAACATCCAAGCAGCACCATATCAGTAGAAGACTTTGGCTGCTTCCTTCAAGCCAGATCTGAACAGTCTGCCGTTCTCAGTGTATTCTATGGACATACCATCACAAACCATGATAATGAATACCCCCTCTTTCGCAAGTTCCGTCTTTCAGTGTACTTCAACAAAAACTTATTTAAGGCTTGCGCACCAAGTTTGGAGAAGACGCTGTGTTTGTGATAGGAAACTGGTCCACTCCCCATGCTAGGTATCGTGAGTCCATCCGTGGCCTTGGTTTCCGAAGATTCTTCAAGAAACATGGGTTTCAAGTCTTTCTTATAGACGAGTATAAGACCGGCGGGTGCTGTCCAACATGCCACAACGAAAGCCTCCACACGTTCCGTTGTGTTCCAAACCCACGACCGTATCAACGTGAGCGATATCCTATTCTTGTCTGCCATGGCCTTTTAAGGTAATAATACATTAACCACTTGGATGACTTTATACTGATTGAACATTGCTTGTAGATGCACCAATCTATACTGTGAAACCGCCATGACAGCTCCAGATAGATATCGCTTATGAAACAGGGATGTTGCTGCTTGCCTCAACTACATGCACATCCTTCGTGAGCTTCGACGTAATGGCATGGTTCATCATAGGTTTCGTCGGGTTGCTGTTGCTCCTACAAGATGTCGAAGAAGAGTGGACGATCAGGAGCAACCAAGAACTAGAATACGCTTAAGTAATGATTTTCCGTCCTAGTTATCGCTAGGACACATCTAGATGCCTTCAGGGTAAGTTGTATACATGTGATAGTTTTCTTACATAACTAACTGTATAGTTCTCTATATTCTTTCCTTGGTATTTATTTCTCTCATTTGTATGCCGTCTCCTTTTGATTGCATTTTATTTTTAGCCTTTGCAAAAGTACTTTTTTTGTATTATAAATTTTCGAATTATGCGACATTATTTGTAGAAAAAATAGTACATACTACGAGCTGAAGTAACTAAATCAATACCTCTACTTTTAATTGAAATCCAGTATCTAGTTGATCAAGATTCCATGCTAAGACTCGTTTATTATGCATCTTCCACGTATGTTAGCTACAAAGCGCTTCCTCTTGCTCTTGTTATTGTTACTAAAGGTTTTTCAAGTACTGCATTCAGAAGAGAGTTTACCATTATTAGTAATGGATCCCTACTGGAAGCAAGCTGCGCATTCTGGGCTAAGCAATGTCTGCTGTTGTCTGCGGACTCTAAAGTCGGTCATCTTAATCAAACAACGCTGGATCCTATGGTTGCCCTAGGGCATCTCATTACTAGCCATCATCCTGCCTAATGCCATCATAATACAAAGCTAATCCAACTCTTATGATGCTATGCTCCATTGCAAGGGAATTTTGGTCAAAGAAGACAGTACAAGGAGTGAAAGAACCAATTTAATTTACCGATTGGAAAAAGCTAAAAAAAAAAAACTTTGAAACAATCCTTGACGAAGACCGTAGCAAAAACAAAACATGACAGAACGCAGAGAAGATTTGGAAGACTATGGTGACTCAATTGAAGAAGACGACAATACCATAGCAAATTATACCTTTGAAGATGCCCAGTTTATTGAAAGTTTAACCGTACCTGGAAAAAACAAGAGTTGGGAAGACATTTTCAATAAAGGGAAAGCAAAAGATCATTTAAATCCTATAAATCACCTTATAGTTTAAAGCCATCATATTATCATATTCTCATAATCTGTCTTTGCCTATTGTAACTTCACAGGCCAAACAAATAGTTTGAGTCTCAAAATGTATGAAAAACAAGGCTTTTTGCTTGGATCAGACATAAATTGGCATAGTTTAATAAATGCGGGTACAGATACATTAGTTGCATCTGTTTTGTTAACTGAATCAATAAAAAACAAAAAAACACTTCTATGCCCAGAAGTTACATTTTAAATGCACCAAAAATGAGTTATCATCAGCACTAAACTCTTCACGATCCTTAGGCTAGACCATCCTTTGATAGAGATTATCAAAACAGTAGGCAATAACCTAAATTTTTCATGAATCCGCATACATCATTCAATAGTTTCTAACACTGAAACATGATCGATTGAAGTAAGCCGACCTTCTTTTGCATTCTGTGAGATATACACAGTAAATTCACTCTTTGTATCAGTTCATTCAGTCTGTGCTACTGTGTAGCTATTTTCTAGAGCAATTTCACCTATAAAGAGATGCAATGTGTAAGATAAGCAAAGTATCTTTATACAAATAGCAAAACACATTACCAACTAAAGAGCGAACAATCAGATTTATAGCGCTTGGGTCATTTAGTAAGAGTTTGCTCGTACGACCTGTTTCAGGCTTCCACTTCAAAGGTAAAATAGTACTGTCAGCATTCCCATCTATAATTGAATAAGTTTATTAAGTACTCTTGTTCTGTATACAATCAAAGCCAATTTGCTAGATTACCTTGCTGTGAAGACTTTTTTTTTCTTGCGAAAGAGAAAGAGAAAGAGAAAGACGCGCTGTCACCAGTAGCGTCACTGGCGGCAAAAAAAAGGGAAACACTACACCAGAAGTTAGACTAATTCTACGGGCGCTACCTTTACCCATTACCTATGATGCCTTTCAACAAAACTTTGAAATCTGTGGCGCCACACTAAACATGGCTCTATAAAGTTACCGATTTGTTTTGTTTCTTTTCATGAAGAAGAGTTAAAAAGAAATGCTGTTATTTATTTATTTATTTCAATTTTATGTTGTCAGTTGATCAAAACAGACCATTTATGATAAATTCGTGTTTACATTATTTAGCCTATTTTATGGTATATATTCTGGCGCATGTAATGTTCACCCAAAAAAAATAAATTATAAAGCAAATTGGTACCGTGAGCACTGTACAGTCTTTTCAGAATGCAAAGTCGCATCTTTGTAGTTTTTATAATACAATTTATACGAAAAAGCGAAAAGTCAGCGCGACATCTCTTTCCGGAAATAGTGTATGAGCAAGCACAATCAAATTGTCTTGGTAGCAAAGTGCAAAGTGTAGCCTATGCATGTAAGATAAGGCATGACGCATATATAATAACTGGTTGAGAAAGAAGGGGACAGCAAGCCGTCTTACAGAGAAAAGTTGAGGAGGAAATACTTGTTTTAACGAATCATGCAGCTATTATCGTACTTGATGATTCTTTAATTTATTTCAAACTTAATGCCATACAGCCATAACTGATGAATCTTTCGACAACGAATATGTAACTGGTGCATAGGATCAGCCCGTATTTCTTCTTCGATAGCTTCCTCGCGTGTAAGCTTTTCTGGGTTATCAAAAAGGTATTTCTTGAAATAAGTCGTTTTTCCTGATGTTGTTACAAATATCATGCACGGCTTTCTGTCAAAGTCACAGTGCTGGTGTTTCAAGTTATATAGACTTAGACTTTCGAGATTTAAATTAAGCAAGTCTATCACAACAGGTTTTACAGGCAAACAGTCATTTACAATCGTAGTGTGCCCTATACAAAGGTATTTCAAGTTTGGAAAACTAACTACTAAATCTTTAAAGAACGTAGGGTAAGTTTCCATGTGATTGATGTGAACCGATTGAACAGATAAACTGAGACAGCCTTTGAAGCTCTGTAGCTTACAAGCCAATAGTGTTAGCTTCTCGAGCCGACTACATTTTTCTATAGCCGTATGTAGACCCTGTAGAGAATTTCCTTTTGAGTTGCTTAGACTATTTACGTGTAGTTCGTATATGTTTGATGCGGTGCCATCCAAGTACTCGTTCAGTTGACTCCCAATGCCAGCATGAGGCAAACTTATCTCGGTTCTACACCTTGATAAATCAATTTTCACCTTTTCCAGGTAAGTGTCCAGCTTTGATCTTTTAGCACTATCGTCTAATGCGCGTACGATAAGGCAATGGTATATATTTGATGAGGTTTGTCGTGTCCCAAATATGCTACTTAGACAAGCTCGGATCGTATCAATCCTAGCAGAACCAATCCCGGTATCAGTCCAGCCGTCACTGTGTATAAACGTCAAATGAAACTCATATGACTGCCCAGCACGCATGAGGTGTGTCTCCAAGAGTCGACTATATGCGGCGTTGTATGCATCATGCTCAGGAGAAGAATCTACTTGGATACGAATTTTGCAGAGTCCGATGAATTTCTGGGTGATATAATCGATCGTACCTTCATGTATTGGGTGAGAGTAACTGGCGATGGATAACTCCTTTAAAGAAGGATACGGTTTTGGTCTAATGAAAGTGTTTGATATTCTGTCTATATGAAGATTTATTGCTGCTAGCTGCAAATCGAGGCAGGTGTCAAATATAAACATAAATTCCTCCATGCTGACAACTCGGTATTTATGTAAATAAAGCTGCTGGAGCGATGGAAATGATTCCAAAAACTGTGTGCTACTCATTCTAACAGGGTCTTCGAGGCAAACAATAGAGTCTTTATATTTGTAATAATGGTCGATAGTGAACTGATAATACCTTCTCTCCGTAAGGAAGCTCTTGATACTCCATTTTATACTATCATCAATATCAAGTAAATACGCCGAAACAAAGCTTAAGAAAGTTAATCTCGATGCTGATATTGCTTCGACATTGGGACAGCGTCTAACTAGTTGTTCAAATTCATGACGTGTGATAAATGGTGTTCGTCTATCAAACCCTTCAACGTTCTTTATAATTATTACGGAAACCATTTCCCCAAGTGGTATCAGTCGGTTAAGGTGACGGTTTGCAGTGAGCTCCAAGAACTGGTTGAAACGTACGTTGTTGTTAATGTGAATTTCTTTAAACGCTGCTTTTGTAACAAGTAAATACCACTTGAAACAGACTAGCCTGCAGGTAAGCTGGTTGCTTAAAAATCCAACTTGATCAAGGATAATTGTAAGTATATCCAGAGGTAGATAATGAATGGTAGCCATTTGTACGTACAAAAAGAAAGAAAAAGCCAGAGATAATTTCCGAGCTTTATAATTTTATGCGCCGTTGGTGAAACCCATGCTGGTCATAAACCTTACAAAAAAGGCAAAGTAATTCGTCGAACACGACATGTGGTCAACTCGGTTTCTCAGTAATAAAGGTTACTGTCTCTAAATGGTGTCTACCGTTCTCTGACCATGGCCATCTCCCTTTATTTTTTAAACTTGTGTGACTGAATCGGTTGGAATGTATAAAATGCCGCCTGACATAACTAGCATAGATAAGTTTTAGAACTGAACAGACTTTAATCTGTAACAAGACAGTGTGTTCAATCAAGAAATAATCTTTTTGTCGACCCCAGCAGTTTGGCTGCTCATGAAAGCAACTGAGCAAAATATTCAACCTATTTTAAAAAAAGGAAATAGAAAAAGACAAGGAAAAGTTCTTCTTAATGGCGAGGTTTATTACTACTACTACTACTACTACTACCTTCATCACCATCCCATTTACCCTTTCGCTTTTCACCAGCAATCTTACTTGCTACCTTGGCCGCGTTGGCCATCGCCTTTGCCATTGCTTCCGATTGCTCCTGTGTCATCTCACTCTTGACAAACTGCACGGATGTCCTTTTTGCCTTTTCTTCTGCAAGCCGTCGCTGAGTATCGAGAATACCATCAATATAGAATGACTTGTTGAATCCATGTGGGTCAAAATCGGCTGGATCAAAATTACTTCCAATTTCGTCCACTTCTATAAACTCGACCAATTTTGCATAAATTCTTGGATTTCTAAATGCTTTATTATGAGCAAGATGATCATTGAGTCTGTGTCCGGATGCTTTTAGTGATAAAAAGTGTGCAATTTTCGCCTTTTTTCTTAAAAATGAGAAATAGGATACAATAAAAAAAAAGAATAGATCTTACCGATCTTTCTGGATCGCATTGTCCTTTTGGTTCTTCTGGAATCCCCCAATTCTCTATACCTTCTATTGGTTTTGGCGTGAGCGCGGTTAAGAGTCTACTCTTTAATGCGGTTGCTTCTGATATTTGTTGTATAGGCTGTTGTGATGGTAGTTGAGTTGATGATTCAGGTGGAGGATTTGGCTTTTGAATTGGCTTTTGAACTAATATGGTTTCTGTATATTACATATTAGGAGGATGAGTACTATTCACTATATCACTTACCTTGTTCGTCAACTGAAGACGAGTCTTCCTCATCAGAGTAATTCACAAGACCTGCCAATGAACTCATGAAAATAGGAAAAAAGGGAGTTTCAAATGCATACAGAAAAGTTGACATATTGGGGGTTCTTTACTACACTTTATTTAGAAATTATTCGCACACTGACAGACAAATGATAGTTTCAGACAATAAACAATTAGCAGTTACATTGATATTAAATGCTTACAAAGAAGAGAGTTTATAATAGAAAAAGAGAAGCAAGAAGAGTGAGTAAACTTATAAAGAGTTTACTAGTATCTTACCCAAAGTGTATCTGGTTGGGTCAGCGATAACTGCCTCGGAAAAGTAAAAGAAAAAAAGAAAGAACAAGAGAGTGGATGAGGCCAAAGTTTGGTAAGAACCAAACCATCCCCAGCAGGCACCAGGTTAATTTCGATTATGATCTATAATACTACATATCTTAGGACTAGCTGGGGAATAGCTGGTTTTACTTTTTGGTCCAAAGAAGAAAAAGAAGTCAAGCTCAGATTATTTATACAAGGTCTCTAACAACATTTTCAGTTACGTGTTTTTTATATGCGTTGACCACATTTATTTTATATATCTCTCAAAAAGGCAGAATTCACTGTCTTTTTAATATTAGAGAAAAGATTGATAGCCAACTAAAGTGTGAAAAACATATTGAAAGTATATACTTTTAATCTCTACACCTTGTAAAAAAAGGAAAGCTTATAAAAAAGGGAATAATACAAATGAGAGCAATAGAAGAGAGTTTTAATTCCTGTCGTTGACGGTGTTACTATCGCGTGTGTGATGTGTGTGTGAGTGCGAGTGTGAGGTGACAATCTACAAAAGAAGATGAAGGGAAGATTTAAAACAAAAAGGAGCAATAGATGGTATAAACGAATAATAGGGTGAGGGTAAAAGTTGTAATACGCCTTTACTAAACTTTTTTTTTCTGCTTGTTTAATCGCTGATATCTTCTTCAAGCCTACCATTGTCGTGAACAGGGTTTAACATGTGAGATTCTTTGCCAAAGCTCATCATAAACGAGGAGGGGTTTCTTTCGTCTATAAAAATGTATTAATGTGAATAAAAGAAAAGGAAAGTCTAGGCCCACAAAGCAAGCATACTTACTCGATTTATTATTTATATCAATATTATTATTACTACTACTAGGGCTATTATTATTAGTTTGATGATGATAGTTATAAAATGAGGCTGTGTTGTTTGAGCTAATGGATGAAGAAGAAGATTTTCGTTCGCTCATTTGCTCGTGTTGTTCAGAGGACTGCATTGATTCGAGTGCTGGCAATTTCCTGTTGTTGAACGATCTATTCTCTATGCTATAGTTTTTGACTGTCGAGTCATTCGAATCAAAGCGCAAGAGCCTACCATTGGGAGTAAAGGCACTGCCACTGCTGTTGCTACTGCTACTCGACCTTTCGCGAGTATCCAAGCGAGGTCTATTGCTACTGCTGATACTTTGAATTTCTTTCAGTCTGGATATTTGTAATCGGAGATTCTCAGCTAGAGTGAAGCAAATGAGCTCTTGTGTATGTCTAGACGTGTTGTTAAAAGTTACCATTTTGTAAGTCTTGTTCGTTTGTTATACTATTGCTATTTGAACAAGTACAGTCTACAGAAAAAAAAAAATACAGAAAATTAGAATTTCTAAATTATGCAGCTTAGTCTTTCTTACTCAAATTTAATTTGGAGGTGGAGACAACATCGACAAGATCTTGCATTGCCTAATTAAGAAAAAAGCCAAAATTTTAAATCGTCGGTTATTTTTTCTAAAAAAAAAAGAAAATCGAAAAAAAAATTTTACCACTTGTTGCTTAGATACGACCATTCGTAAATGGACGATTTCATTGTATAGCAATTCGCAGGATTTGGCAATGCCCAATAAGTGGGACTCTATTTTTAATACGTGATCACTGACCATATGTTCTTGCTGTAGTTGCTGTTGCTGCTGCTGCTGTTGTTGTTGTTGCTGTTGCTGTTGTTGCAATAATGGTGTGGCGTCTTCTCTAGGAGACTGTTCGTCTAATTCATCTTGCTTTTGTTGAAGTAATTGTTTGTTATTTTTCAACAGTTCCTGCTGCTGCAATTCTTGCTGCCGTTGCAGCTGCAGATGTTGTAATTGGTTTTTGGCGCTTTTTCTCTTGATATGTTGAAGGTCGCCCACCGCGCCCCTTCGGAAATTAGGATGCTTGAATTCCCAAGTTTGATTCTCGTTGGTTAGGTTAGAATGTATCAAATCGTTAACTTTGTGAAATCCATACACTATGTTTATAAACAAGTGAGACTGAGCGTATTTGTCAATTGAATATGATATTACTGTTGAGTTGACGAACAAAGCTTTGCCAATTGTTATGTTTAAAGTACTGTGGCAAAATGCATTTTGAAAAGAGAGTTGGATTGGATACACTAAACAGGTCACCATGAGCTGACCAAGAAATTAAATCAGATGTTTGAGGATCTTCGAGCATTCTATCAATATAAAGATCAATAAAAGGCTGCATCAGTAATATTTAAGTTATTATATTACTTGTATAGTTTGTTTACAAATGCTGCCTGTGTCTTCATAGTTGAGCCATTAGTCGAAGATGTGCTCGGGGGTGTGGGTGTATTGGAACTAACGGGTGAGCTGCTACTTTGACCAGATGTATTATTATCATCGTGATTATTCAACTTTATTCTACAGGGGAAATGTGTCAAAATATGTACGAAGAAAAAAAAAGTCAAGAACGAGTACCTTTTATATCTTTGATCTTCGGGAGTACTATGACTATGACTGGATGAACCGGATCGACTGCTACTACTTGCTCTCGTCATTCTTGAAGTAGATAAAATAGAGAAAAAAGAAAAAAAAGTAGAAAAAAAAGAAAAAATATTTTTTTCCGCAAAAAAAAAATGAGGATTGTTTATAAAAGGAAAAATATCTGTATTTTTTTTTTTTTACCTTATTTTATGATTCAAATACGATGCAAAAAGGAAAGGTTTCTATGCTATGAAATCCTTAAATTTGTTTAAAAGGACTTGTATAAAACTTAAACGGAAGAATTTAAGAAGGGAGTAGAAAAGGGTTATAGAAGAAGAAAGAAAAAAGAAAAAGAAAAAAATAGACTAAGGAAGAAAAAAAAGGACAGATTTTTACTGTTTTTGTGAACAAGCAAGTTGAATGTGTTTAAAAGAAACATTGATGGTTTATCAACACCCCTTCCCGCTATGATGTCACTAACTGTGCCGAGCTGCTGGATCATTTTTATGTAATTGGTTTAGGGGACTGAAACTTAAAAGGTAATCAAATAAATTAAGCTTTTCTTTCTTATTACAAGACCCCAATGTGTGTTACTAGCAAAAAAGACAAAGAACAAAGGGGGGAGGTATGCTGTCATCGATCATCGTCATCCCACTCAAGATTTTGGTGTACGCCCCCAAAAAAGGGTCGGTTATTTTAGAATATACCAAAGTAGCTAAAAGGGTGAAAACCTTTTAGACTTCCGATTATTCAGTATAAGGAAATAAAAATAATTCACTACTTATTTTATCCCCCATCCGATCCTTTTGTTACTGTATTACCTTGTTTTCTATGGCAATAATGCAGGAAAGATCGGATTTACCAATCCGGATAAAATTACATAAACTGTAAGTCCCACTCTCTCTCTTCTCTCCTTATATTTTGGTTTGTTGAACTTGAAAAGGGGCGGGGGACACTATGTGTGACTGTGGACGGTTATAGAGATTAAAGTGGGGCAATAGATACAAGCGTCATCCATTTATTTCAACAAACAAAAAAAAAAAAGATCACCCATTCAGATCAAACGGAATTAGCCGAATTCGAGTAGTCAAGAATAAATTAAACACAGCTACAATCAAAACGAGCAAGTGTTAGTGAATTACTTGGCGTGAAACACTAGTAGCGTGATCAGGCGATTTAATTTGAGTCTGTTTTTGAACAATATGTTGCTATAGCTTACTCTAAAGGGCTAGCTTGATGTCAATGGCTTAGAATGGAATAGCTTGTGTATAGAGGGGTGTACATGTGGAGTCCTGAGATATTCTAGACCTATAAGATCCCCTTATCAGGATATACAGTTGTTCTTAGGGCTATGCAAAAGCTATTTGATACAGTCTTTTCAGAAAGTAAAGTCGCATTTTTGCAGTTTTTATAATATAATTTATACGAAAAAGCGACGAGTCAGCGCGACATCTCTTTCTGGAAATAGTGTATATTATAAAAAACAAGTTGACATTGTATAAAAATTTTATCCAATCACAATTTACAAATTGTTCTTTGGATAAATGTTCTTCACATTAACTTTATGAGGTTAAAGTCTTAGCGAAAAGTTTAAAATATCGTAAGGCTAGAGTGCGAAAAAAATGGGTTAGAAGAATAATAATAGTTTTAAAAGAGAGAAAAAAAGAGGGAATGGGCCATCATCCTTTTATCGGCATATTGGTTCATTATTATTATCATTATTATCAAAAATTACTTGATACACCCCTGATTCTCTGTCCCCCAAACAGATACAAAGAGATCACTCCGCCATTGCGCTGCGGGAAAAAATCGAGTAGAAGTTACCAGAAACGTCGGAACAAAAAATGAATGACAATTTTTTATATGCAACAAATGCTGCAAGCTTACTTTTTCTATCCCCCTTTTTCTTCTTTTCACTCTTTTTCTCAATGAATCAACCAGACTATTATCAAATCCTTGGAGTATCCAAAGATGCTTCAGAAGAAGAAATAAAAAAGGCTTATCGTAAATTAGGTATGAATATCTATTTATATCTGTATATAAATATGTCCTCACTAGATTCCTCTTTTTTAATAGCTTTGAAATGGCACCCAGATAGAAACAAGGATCCTTCAGCCAAGGTCGAATTTCAAAAGATCGCAGAAGCCTTTGAAGTCCTGAGTGACCCAGAAAAGAGACAGGAATATGATAATCCGGTCGATCCTGAGGACGGCCAGCAACACTTTTACTTTTACACACCAGAAACTGATCATTTATTCCATCAAATGTTTGGCTCAGACATATTTTTTGACTTTGGTGACTTTTTCTCAACTCCAGGTCGTAAGCGTCCCCGATACCAACCACAACAAAGCTTCCAGCAGCGTAAACGACAAAAGACCGTTGTTCATCAAGTATCTGTCACCTTGGAAGATCTTTACAAAGGTACGACCAAAAAGTTTCAGTTGACTCGTGACATTGTCGACAAGAAGACAAACAAATATACCAAGAAGCAGCAAGTAGTTCAGATAGAGATCAAGCCTGGATATGTAGATGGTACAACTATTTCTTTTCAAAACATGGGAAACGAGTGGGCTCCAGGAAAGGCTGGTGATTTGATCTTTGAGATTCGTGAGCTACCGCATTCTATCTTTAAGAGAAAGGGGCGAAACCTGTATACGAATGTGCAGTTGAGTTTGGTAGAAGCCTTGACTGGATTCAAAAAGGAGATCAAACGGTTAGATGGCTCCATTTGTATTGTCGAACATGGTCTCTCACGTCGTTCTCAGATATTAAAACCAATACAACATGGTGATGAAAAAGTTCTTATTGGTGAGGGTATGCCAGACCCAAAGACAGGCGAAAAAGGAAATTTAATTATTCGCTTCAAAGTCGAATACCCAACACAACTAACAGAACAGCAATGCTCTCTTATCAAACAGGCTTTTTCTTCATCGTCATTAGTAAGCAAGAAGGACGAGATGGAAGTGGACTTGTAAATAAAATGTAGATATATATTATTTATTGACATCATATCGCTGTGTTGCTCCGAGGCACTTGCTGGTCTTGTCTTTTTTCTATTTCGGTATCGACATCCCTACTGGTATCTATAAAGAGTTCTGGATGCTTCCTTGTCTTGCGCTTTCTCCTTTCTTCCAATTGTGCTGCTATAATGGGTGAGAGCGTACTCAATGTTCCCTTGGATAGTGCCATGTATACAAATAATGTAATTAAAATAGTTAGCTGAATAAGCGATAGTTTCTTCTCAAATGATAACTATAAAGAGCTTATTAGTATAATACATCCTTTATTTTATTTTTTCTTACCTGGTCTGCCAATAAATTAATCTTTGTCGTCATTTCTCTCATATCGCTTTCAGTTTGATCCTTCATATTTGCATACCACTGCTCATATCTTTTCTTCTATAGTATATGTGTTGTTAGTATATACACAATCGAAATGTATATAAAAGACTTGCCATATTGTCAATCTTCTGGCTCGCAGTCTCATTCAAATGTCCTATGAGCACAATGAGCTGTTCCTGGTGTCTCTTTTCCATTTCAAGAAATACGTCATTCAACACCTTGTTCTGATCATCCAGAAATCGTTGTGAGAGTGTCATGTTGTGCTCCAGAACGCTCAGACGCTTCATGATGGTCTTATAGATCGATTCTTGTGTGATGGCCTCTTTGGTATGATGTGTCTTATGCTGCGTGACAATGGGTCGATTGTGATCTTCAGTTGTATTGCTGCTATGGACCGGATCTGGAGTAGGCGTATTCAAGGTTGTACTCTGTGTGCTATAACTTGCTACCACACTTTCTGACGATGATATAAAGGCCGCAGTTGTTATCAGAGGCTTGTCCATGGGTAATGTCAAAATTGCTGTCTCTTGAGCACAGGTTCCTTTGCTATCTGATTCAGGCGAGGTTTGTCTGTTTTCTATTTGTTCTTCCTTTAGCGTCTCAGATACCTGCTCTGGTGCTTCCTGATCATACGTTTCATGACCAGGTGTCTCTGGAATAATCGGTTCGTGAGCCTCTACGGGCTCTGGTTTAGCATCATCTTCGTCGACCTTGATTGGAAACGACTCGGACGTATTGCCAATATCGAATTGAGGCTGGATGATTTGTTCTCGAATCTCAGCTGGCCAAAGATGCTCTGGCTCTATCATTGGACTTTCTTCATCATCTTCATCATTGCTTTCGATTGTTGTGTACAGTTCCATCATGGACATACCGTGAACTCTTACCAGACTCAATGGACAGTAATATTCGTGACCATAATGAGTGAGAAACTCAATCTTGATATAGTTCGTCCATGGGCTTTCTGGGACTCTAAACACCTGAAATGCAATATGTTATACACAATATCAGATGAGCCTTTTTATCATTACCTGTAAATCTCGTGTGTTTTTTGCTTTCCACTGACCAAGCAGACGCCAATCGTCGGTAGGATATTTTGAGGAAGCATAGACCTTGAAATCCTTGAAAGTGCTAGAGAAAAACTCAAAGTTGGCCATCACAATCGTATCCACTCGAATCTGTTCACAAAGATTGATGATCACAAACTTGTTGGTAGAACACTTATTGAGCATATACTGATCCTTAGATTCAAACAGAATACTCTGAGCACCCTTTGCTTCCTTATTCGCCTTACGCACAGTTGCTGCACAATCTACAGAAGCATAATTGAATCGCTCCTTGAGGTATTTGAGGTTATCGACCTTTTTGTCTTGTCCGATAGGTGAAATGTACTGTTTCTCGTCGTATACATTCTGTGTACTCTTGGGTGTGTCCATGAGGTTTTCAAACATGGAACCCAAATCGTCCGAGAGACCGCCATCGAGGCTATCGACCACTTGACGAGTCTGTCCAAGGGTTTTCTTTTTTTCGTTTTGACTCGATCGGTGTCTATTGTTATTTGTAGTCGCGCTGCCATTACTGTCTTTTAGCACTTGCTTTTGCCATTCTTCAAATGAGGAAAATGGCTTGATGGGTGTAGATGATGCAGTTTGACGAGTTGTCGTCATTAGATCTGGAAATAAACTGGGTGAGACATCAGTCGATGCTTTGGCAGGACAGATGGGACTTAGACCATCATAGTAGTCTTTTGTGCAATAATTAAATGCAAACACAAGAGGACAAAGCAAGAAAAGAAAAAAGTAGAGCATTTTTATAAAGAAAAAGAGAAAGTTTATTCCATTTTTTTCAATGATAGAAAAGAGAAATGAAAAAGATCTTTTTTGGCCACTCATTTTTTTACAAGTTCTGATTTCCGCTTGCCTTATTTGTGTGTGTTCATGTTTATTGTGTAAAGTTTGCTTATGTAAGCTGTCATTCTGTATATTTAGTCATGACATGTGTAGTTATTTCTAGTACTAGCACCTCTGTTTTTTCTGAGCTTTGATTTGGATCAAGAAAGGTATTAAATGTCTAGTTGTTGGTTAAAGATCTTTTGATTCGATACTAAAAGATAAAAACCCTCTAGTATTTCTAAGGCAGTCCACTTGAAAACACATGAAAGCACAAAAGACCTGTTTATGTAGGCTATCTTATCGAAATCACAAGAATTAGGTATTTAAAATACAAGAAGGACTTAAAGAAGCACAGAATACATAATTATTTTTTCAGGAAGTAGATATTTAATGGTTATTGTCATGCAGGTACATCAAGTCAAAAAAAGCGGCCTTCTCTTTCTCCTTAACACTGATTTCCTAAAGAAGAGACCAAAACTTTATGCAATTTATGCAATCCTCTAGAAATCCCCAATTCAAAGTCACAGTATGTTCAAAAGCGGAGATTGGCCGATACAGAACCCTTTTTTACTGCTCTGTTGTCTCTGACTCATTATTTGTCTTTTTTTTATGCGTTTGCTACCCTTGCGCACCTGTCTGTTAAAAAGACAGGTCTCTTTTCAAAGATTTTATCATGCATTACCTAATAAGGTGGGAATTCAGTTAACTCGAGACCAGCAAGGTAGTATTCATAACTAATAAGAGGATGTTCCTTACATGTATAAATAGAATTGACAGAAGCGGAACATGACTTGATGAAAACAAGTCGTAGTCCGAACGATATATTACAAGTGCCAGGCAGCACTTATGGGTAAGCGATATAAAACAAGATCGAGTGTTATCTCATGTCATCTTTATCCAGTGGGTTATATACACTAAAATGGGCAGAAAAACCAAATAATATACTTATTGTCAAAAAGCCTCAAGATGACAAGACAGCAAGAGCAATGATAGAATTAGCAAAGTAAATGACACTATTTATGTGTATAAAAAGAGATTGGAGCTTATACTTATCATTGTTTTCAGTTGGCTACACCAAACACGACCTGATATGAACATTATTGTTGAACGATATGCGGCGGAACAATTTAGAAAAGAGCTTCCGTTTGTTCATGTCATTGACCAAAGTAATGTATGATTACATAACAGCATTTCAATTGTAATAACACTATATAGACGAATATACAAGGACAGTTGACTTTGCCATCACACTAGGTGGAGATGGCACGCTTTTACATCTCTCCTCTCTATTTCCCAAAGCTGTACCGCCGGTCGTCAGTTTTTCGCTAGGCACATTGTGCTTCCTTATGTCATATCGTACGCTATTTCTTTTTTTTGATCTATAATCCTTGATTCACCTTATTATTAGGGTTTGATAGATACCAAGATATATTAGGCAACATGATCTCAGGCCATAACATCGGTCTGAATATGCGCATGAGGCTCTTTTGTTCACTCCATCAATCGAACGGTAAACGGATCCAGGTGGATGGTAAGGAAGTGCGAGATAGACAGGTGATGAACGAAGTAACCTTACATCGTGGTCGATACCCTCACTTGGCGGCGGTTCACTGTTTGGTAGATGATCAGTACCTGACTGAATGTATCGCAGACGGTCTGATTGTTTCCACTCCAACAGGATCCACTGCTTATTCGCTATCGGCGGGCGGGCCAATTGTTCATCCGAGCGTACAGAGTCTTGTGCTAACGCCTATCTGTCCAAGATCGTTATCCTTTCGAACAGTGCTGCTGCCATCGAGTTCAATCATTCAACTAAAGGTAATGCCTGACGCTTTATATAAACTACAGCTAACAGTAGTAGATTGGTGAGAATACAAAAAATCCAACAGAAGTAAGCATGGATGGTCAGGAAATTTTCATGTTGAATAAAGGCGAATATGTAAAAGTAAGCAATAGACGATATAAAAGCTGACATTATTGTAATTATGTCATCATCATATGATTTAGGTGCGTATGTCAAAATACCCCATTCCGTGTGTTCAAGGTGCACGTTGGGAAAAGGATATTAACGAACTCTTGAAATGGAATCAAACGTTTGGTAGATAAAGGTCCCAGTAACTAGAAATAGAACTCCGAATTCAGCATTATGTAATCCGCCCCCTAATTGTGTCAATAAAAGGATATCTCTATTTTTCGATTTTTGTCTTTTCTTGTGTGTCTGCTTTTTATAATGAGTAAAGTAAACTTGTTTTATAACCTAAAGCCAGTAGAAATAAAGCCAGTGGGAAAGGACAGTATCTCGCTTGTAGATTATATCAAACAAAAGTGTCCTTCACTTTATGGACCAAAAGCAGTGTATCATCCAACACCCTATCTATTTAATGGTCATCTTCAAACTGGTTATGCAGCTTATTACAATTACTCACCTACAGTAAAAGATGTCAATTATGAACGGTAAAATAGATAAAGGCTATCATCTCTTTTAGACTAACTCTCTCTCTCCCTCTTATTAGAGAATTGATTCAAACACCAGATGGCGGCCAAGTAGCTATTGATTGGACATTGCCTCGAATTCCTGATGAACAAAAGGTACCTACACTCGTCGTTCTTCATGGATTAACCGGAGGAAGTCACGAATCTTATGTTCGTAGCTTGTTGGAAGTGGTAAAGGAAAAAATCAATGGGATATACATTATTGAAACTAAGGATATGTATATATAGCTTGTTCATCCACCTTTTAATTATCGTGCAGTTGTTATGAATAGTCGAGGCTGTGCTGAATCAGAGATCATAACACCACAGCTGTATAATGGCGCCTATACAGACGATCTTCGAGTAGTACTAGCACATATTCAAAAGAAACTAGGTGATGATACCCCATTAGTTGCCATCGGATTCTCGCTTGGAGCCAATATCTTGGTCAAGGTATAGTAAAGAAAGATCATACAGATAAAGATTATTAATGTTGTACTCTGTAGTATCTTGGAGAGGAGAAAGAAAAGACACCGTTCAAGGCCGCTGTGTCTGTTGCAAATCCATATGATTTTAGAGCGTAAATATATATATATATATATATAAATGTATCCCTTACTTATACCTTAATAGATCTATGGACCACATGGAATCTTCTTTTATGGGTAAAACAGTGTATTCTCCTGCCATGGCAGAAAACCTAAAACGAATCTTTTCCAAGTAAGATCAATTCATCATTATAAACATCAGTTGATCTAACCTAATAGCAGACATATGCATGTACTTGAAAAGGGCGGTAAAGTAAAGCGTGAAGAGGTATTAGCGGCACGAACCCTTCGTGAATTTGATGATACTTGCACGAGAAAGATTTCTGGCTATACAACTGTGAATAATTATTATAGAGAGGCTAGTTCATGTCGATTCATTGAACATGTCAAGATTCCCCTGCTGTGTCTTACTGCATTAGATGACCCTATTGCCTACTCACAATGCATACCTTATGACGAAATCAAATGTAACCCTAATGTTGTCTTAGCCACAACATCACAGGGTGGACATATTGGATGGTTTGAACATGTATTGCGTCCTACCCGATGGTGTGTTAAGCCACTGTCTGAATATATTGTAGCCATGTTTCAGGTAACTTAGAAAAAGACAGTCATTTTTATAATAGGTAGTTAATTTAATGATAGGCATTTGATGTGAGAGAAAGCAAAAAGGGATTAAGTGGTGAACAAGTAGATGAACAAGTGGAAAAAGTGCAACATGAAATAAACAAACAAACATCAGATGCAGTTGCTTAATATGCATAAACTGTGACTACGGAATAAATCTAACCCCCTTTTCATGGACCAGTTACTTATTTTATCACTCCACAAAAATGTTAAAACGTGTTAAACTTGTGTAATTTCATATGATACACAAAAAAGTAACAATAAGGTTACAATTGAGGGAGAAGTAGGCAAAGAGGGAGAGAAAAAGAGAGAACATCTAGAATTAGCTCAATACTAAAATAACTTTTCTTTACTCGAGTGAATTTCAAGGGGTCATTCAAGAAATGCAGAAGAGCATATTTTACTGTATTTGTATATAAATATATATCGCGTCTAAATTTGATGTAGGATTTATTTTTGTTCTGCATAAGAAAAAAGGGGGGATTAGGAAGACTCCAAAAAAAAGGGGGGGGGGAGAGATTACGAAAGAAAAAAAGAAAGCAAGACAGAGTTGAGCTGTTTGACAGGCACGCAAGTAGCGGTTGTTACACCATAATATAACTCGGATCAACTAGGATAGTTATTGTTTCATTTAATATATAAACTGGCGTTAGATTTATATAGTAAGGGTGTTTTTTTTGAATTAAAGAGACTATAATTTGACGTTACAAGATAATACGTATTAACAATAGGAAGCAAGAAAGGCAGAGAAAGATAAAAAGAGAGAGAGAGACAGAGAGAGACAGAGAGAAAGAGAGAGATGGTTATGGTCTAAGAACAATATATATTTGATTGGCGTAACCTTATGTTATTTATTTAAAGTAGCGCAACCATGTGTGTCTATATAATATCAGGCAACATGTTTAATAACTATAAACCCTTTTTTTTCCCTTTTCTTTCTCTTTTTTCTTTTCTTTGTTCTTTATATACATGATATGACTTCACTTTCACCACCTACATCTCCTATTGTGTCTACATACACGTCCCATTTTGTACAGGCACTTCATGATTATCTACCTTCTTCAGCTCCTATCACAGATGAACCAGTGACATGCTTATTCTTTAAGAAAGGATCTATTATAGAAGTATTCAACAGAGATGATTCTGGTTGGTGGGATGGTCAATGTGGCGATATCAGAGGATGGTTTCCAAGTAATTACGTTGGAAGAATCGGTGAAGCTAAAAGATCGAGCATAGACTTTGAACCTGAAAATGATGAATTGATTCATTGGCAACAGGAGCAATTAAAAAAACAAAAAGAGCAACAATTAGAACAACAGCACCACCAAGAACAAGAACATAGATTATCATTCATGGAAGAAGTCACAGAGATAACAAAGAAAGTTATCAAAGAATACAATAATGACATTCAAGAATCAGTACATATTCCCCATCTCGTTTCATGTATAAGATCTATCCTTATAGAATTCAACATTTACAATAAGGATAGTCCATTATTAAAAGTATATCCTGAAATGGCAAAACAAAGAATACATGTCTTTTGCATTTTAAACAAACTAGCCTTGGCATACAAACAACACGACCAAGATATAGAAGAGATTATAGATATACTGCTCACAGAGCTCAATCAATTCGAAAAACTGCTCATGAACACATCTTCCATACTCGATGGCTCTGTTTCCTCACGATGTTCATCTATCGCCTCCTCAACATTCTCAACCAATTTGTACTCGGACTATTACTCAAATTCAACCTCATCCGTCAAATTAAATGTTGATCAGGTACTACAATCTGTACTTGAACATCAGAATGTCGTTCAGGAATTACTCTCCAATTTACTCGCCCAATTACCTCAATTTCTCGCAAAACGTCATCAAGAGAAAGCTATGGAATTATTGGAAGTGACTAGAAAAGTTGTAGAAGCGGTCAAGGGCTACTTATCAGTCATTGAGTACGTCTGCTCTAGTCTCGATGACTTTGTTGATAAAGGCTTATCCATCATACCAGAAGATCCCCAACTGGTTTCATTAGTATTTGCCAAGGAATCTGTCTACAGCGCCATCACTAATCTCGTCACTGCTATTCGTGCCGCATCAAGCCACATGAGTAAAGAAGAAGACCATGCACTTGAGCTGGATCATCTCAACCATTGCTGCGAACAAGTGATCAAAACAATCAATCATTGTGCTGACAATTTGCGCACCTGCTTGTTATCGTCATCGTCATCATCCTCCACATCCACCATTGAACAACCAACACCAAATGAAGAAGAAGTCATGATTTCGTCTAAATCTTTCCATAACAACCTAGAGATGATGAATCGAAAGATCTCGAGTCTAAAAGCAATCCAGCAGCAACTTTCTGCATCTGAGCAGGAAGAGACGATCATATTGAAACCATCCATCTCTGATCATTTAGTTTCAAAAATTCAACAACAACAATTACAACAACAACAAAATCATTACCATCAGCATCAACATCAACAACAGCCACTCCCTGTTCGCCATCTTTCATTACGCGCCCGAGCATCGTCTGTAAATAGTTCTACTCCTCCTCCACTTCCAAAGCATACTGTATCTACTGCATCCAAGAGACGACCAAGAGGTCTTAGTTTAACATCATTACGTTCCTCGCTTCATAAATCTCGATCGATTGCTTCTTATGAGAGCTTACCTGATGTTACCAAGACCTCAAGTAGATCTTCACTAGATTCCAAAATCGTTCCTCCTCTTCCTCCTGCAAGTACCCCTTATAAGGTAATGAACATATGGCGATCCTAAACAATGTAGAATAACACTTGAAAATATAGGAATATGAGTTCCTGAAGGATACTCAGTTATCTGAAGAGGAGGCAATCTTCAACCAGGATGGCTATCTCACAGGCGCCACGCTGGAGGCACTGGTACAATTATTAACTCTGCATGAAAAATCTCCAGGTACTTAAAGTTTAATTTAATTTTTAAGGAGTTGTTTGCTAACCTTAACGCTGTAGATCTCTTATTTATTCGTGCCTTCTTTTATAACTTTCGTTTGTTCACTAATCCACAAGAATTAGTGAAGTTATTGATTCAACGATTCCATCTGCAGCCTCCTGAATCATTATCCGAGGAGGAGTTGGCTATTTGGACCAGCCGTGTGCTAATACCCGTTCGTTTACGTGTTTATAATGTCATCAAGACGTGGTTAGAATCGTACTTTGACTATAGTCGAGACGCTGCTGTTCAAAAGGAATTACTTGAGTTTACTGAACGCGACATGAGTCAAGTTATGCCTAGTCCGGCTAAACGTATGGCAAATATAATTCACAAGGCCGTAAGTTCATTTTTGTGTTTAATTAAAAGGAGAATACTGATCATCAATATAGCTTATTACTAAAGGCCAGTTACCTTCTAAACAACAACAACAATCACAACAGCCACCTTCTTCTTCCAGCAGCCACAATAGTTCTATCTTTTCAAACCTCTCCTTATTTGATGATCATAACGTATACCCGCCATCCATCATCAGCAAATCAACTCGAAACACACTCAAACGTGCATTACTATCGCCCGAACCCCTGTTATCGGCAATTCATCTTCAGGACATTGACCCTGTCGAGCTCGCACGACAGATCACTCTCCTTGAAAACGCCTTATTTTGTCAGATCAGGCCGTACGAAATTATAGGTCAGGAGTTTAAAAAGAAGCATGGCGAGAGCAAGGCTGTACACGTAAAAGCGATGATCCAAAAGAGTACACAGATCACAAGCTGGATATCGGGAAGCATATTGAACGAAAATGACGTCAAGAAGCGAGCCCAATTAATCAAGTATTGGATCAAAGTGGGTGATGTAAGTAGACAGTTACTGTTTTGGTGTTTATTTTCTTATATGCATCTGTTAGGCATGTTTACATATGAACAACTATAATACTCTGATGGCCATTCGGTCTGCACTTGACTCAACCTGCATTATCCGGCTTAAAAAGACGTGGGAATATGTATCAAGCAAGTACCGGTCAATCTGGGAACCTATCTACAAGGCCACAGACTCACAGCGTAACTTTGCCGAATACCGTTCCAGACTCAAGACAGCGGTGGCACCTTGTCTACCTTTCTTGGGTGTCTACCTAACAGATGTAACATTTATTGATGATGGTAATGCAGATTATCGTATGTCTCCTGGTGGTAAAAGACTAGTGAATTTTGATAAATACATCAAGACGACCAAAGTGTTGAACGAGATTGATCAATTTCAAATTCATTATCGATTCACTGAGGTAGATGAAATTCAACATTATCTTAAAAGAATACTCGAATCTGTTGAACAAGATGATCAAGTATTTTATGCTAAAAGTTTGAAGCTTGAACCAAAAGAAGAAAACGATACCAATTCATAACTTTGTACATAGTATTTTACGTTTATAAATAGTCTTGTTTGATTTACAGGTTACTCAAACAATAAAATTTTTCATGGCTGCATTTTTCATTTGATTTACCCCTTTTTTCCTTGGGGACTTGTAAAACCGCAGCAAGATGGTTTATGGAGTTTAAATAAAAAGAATAATGAACCATGAAAATACGACTTTATGTTTCCTGTTCTTGGGTTTTCCATTTTGGTGGACAAAATACCTCTTTTGATTTGTTTATTCTGTTCGTCGAGCGGAGTGAAGGTTGAATGGAAAAAAAGAAAAACAACTTCAACTCCGAATACCCGTTTAGAGAATGAAAAAAGATCAAGATAAACGTATAAACAGAGACAAGACACATTGGATATACAAAGAGCCATGCGTTCTAGCTCAAGTTGAGGACATAATTGCATTGTATATAAAGAAACAGACAAAAGAACGAGCTCAACTTGAAAAAGACGCTTGTTGTACAGTCCAATCAGAAAATGTTATTGTGACCATTTCCATTGTGGCTTTTGGCTGCGGGATTTATCAAAAAATTTTTTAAATAGAGAAATTTTTTGGGCCATTGTTTTGATTTTTTCTTCTTTACTTTAAACTTTCATCAAGTAATGTATACACACACTTTTCAGCCAAGCAACAAAATTAACCATTATTTTAATTTGTAGCCATGGGTAAGGAGAAGACTCACGTTAACGTTGTCGTTATTGGTCACGTCGATTCTGGTAAATCTACCACTACTGGTCACTTGATCTACAAGTGTGGTGGTATTGACAAGCGTACCATTGAAAAGTTCGAGAAGGAAGCCGCTGAACTCGGTAAGGGTTCCTTCAAGTACGCTTGGGTTCTTGACAAGCTCAAGGCTGAACGTGAACGTGGTATCACCATTGATATTGCTCTCTGGAA